GCACTGCTGGGCGGCAACCACCTCCAGCTGATGCTCACCCGCCTTACACCTGCCCCTCTGGGCCAGCTGGTGGTCCCTTCAGGTAAGTCTCCTGAACTCCCCCAGGTGTGGGGACCTCCTGCAGGGACCCCCGCCTATACGTCAACAATAAGGCACCTTAGCTGTGTCCACAAGCACAGTGTTGTCCTGATTTGCTGGTCACTGAAGGACATCAACTATGTGAACGCTGGTATTTCATCGTATGACTGATGGTCTGGAACGTGTACCTCCAAACTTATTGCCCCCTCAAGTGACACCTTACGATACTTTAATTCCTAGTCCTCAGGTGGCCAACATGTTAAAACAGGCCGAGGTTGCCTTTCAAGGTTTCCGATAGTGTTCAAAACACATTGTTTTTTGAATAATGCTGGGAAATGGTCCTCCTTTGGTGGCAGATTTAATTCCGATCAACAGGCAATATGACAGTGCGTGAAAATTAGCAATAATTTCATCATGTTTATATGCAAATTCACTAATTGTCCTCAACATTTCTTTGAGAGCTTGTGTTTTTCCCCCTTTTTTTTTTTTTTAAGCCAATCCAATTTCATGACTGGCCTTTGGCAGCTTTAGGGATGCGGAGAGGGGCTGTGTGTGTAACCATTCTCCTGAGGGCTGTGTTACCACCACCATCGGATCCACTGGATTCAACGGCACTTGAGCGAAGTGACGGCTGTGCTCCTGGCATTGCAAGAGACAAGCTCAGGCAGGGGAGGGGTGACTCAGCCATTGGAAGGGCCATTACATTGGCATGAGGAGTCAGCGTTTTCCTTTTTCATGTCAGGGCAGACAGAACATACGGCCATTCCCATAACGCCCTGGGGCGAAGGGAAGGGGCTCCTTGGGGGCTGGCTGGGCTCCAGCTGCCTCAGGCTCCCCGCACTAGGAGCGGGGGACCCCCATGTGCAGTGCACCTTGGACATGCTGGGACCTTAGAGGGCCCCTTGGGAATGCACATGATGGCCTTTAAATTAATGTCAGCTGAGCCCGAGGTGACTGGCATGGCCGTCCCTCAGAAACAGCCTCCCAAAATGTCAGAGACTGTCACCGGGTACCGATTTCTTATCTTTATCGGTGTGCTTGGAATGAGGAACGAATAGGACCTTGACTTGCCCAGGTCTTGATATGCTAAATCCCAGGAAGGGGGGAATGGATAGGACCTGGGCACCCCAAACTCCTTTGACCTTGAACCCCCTCTGGAAATCCATAACGTGCTGTGTGGTCTGTGGTGGTGGTGACTGTCCCTCCATCAGAGTGACAACCTCCTCTGGGCACCCAGCTTTTGGATCTATTTCTGTCTCTTGGTCTCTTTCTTACTTTTATTTTTTAATCCCCAGCTCCTCCACACAGGACCTGTCCTTCTCCCTTTCCGTGCGGGAAAAGGAGAAGCACCCACCACAGGGACTAGAAGTTTCCAGGTGTCTTTACCCCCAGAACGTCCATGTTTCCAGCCCCCGCCCTGCGGGAACCTGGTGTGCTGCTTTCACTGGAGCCGAGCCTGGAGCCCTGCCCGTCCCCTTCGGCAGCCCCGTGCACACCAGCCTGGGAAAACAGGACGAGGCGTTCTCTCCCATAGGTTTCTTCAGCAGCTGCCGCAGGAGGGGGGGAGGTCAGTCTGGAAGGAATCGAGGGCTGGGATTTAAACACATCATCATCTTATAAATGGTTCCATGGAAGGTTTACAAACATCCATTACAAAATAGACTCCTCGGAGGGCCACAGGCAGATCACGAATCACCCGGAACACCATCAGTGAGCAGCGCCTGTTCACGGCGTTCCCTCCAGCCACAGTCTCCGGAAGCGGAATGCATTGCAGACTGTCACCCTTTGCAGACACACGTGACACATGTTTTCAATGCAAACGACAAAGACTAGCCCGGAGTAACGTGAACACAACACGGAGGAAAACTGAGTGCACCAGCACAGCGATCATCTGATAGCAAAAACAGATGTATGCCGATGTTCATATCAAAATGAAGGGCATTCACATAAGTTATGTCAAGACACTGGGACCATTACCCCTAAGATCATGAGGACCACTTCTTACTGCTCCTGCCTGACAAAGGTCTGAGGAGGTTCTACGACAGCCGGAAGACACATGAACTGCACAGATATCCAAGAACATCTGTGCAATGCATAGAACATACGTTGGACCTACGGCAAGGTGACAGCCACGTGAGAACGTCGCTGACCAGTGTCCTTCCACGGTTGCCGCTGGTGATAGGACAAGACCTCTCCTCATAAACCCGGAAAGTACAGCTGGAGGACAGCGCTCAAAGCCCAAGCAGATGACTCACGGGAAGTAATTAGAAGCAGGATCTAAGAAAAGGAGCAGCCTAAAGGAAGAAAATGTTTTTAAAAAACTGCTTTGTATATTTTTCTCTCCCAGGGAGTCCCACAAGAGGGCATTCTGGGACTGATGGCTGGCTTGCTGTCCTCCAGTGACCTGTTCAATCAGTGCCAGGCCCAGCCTGGCTCCTGGGAAGGTCAGCACAGTTGACTTGGGGAAACACTGACCTACGATGGGCTTCCTGGCCCCCCTGGGGCCTGTAGGCTTCTCCCTAATGGATCTCCTGAAGCTTGGGGAAGGGCGGAGAGGGAGGAGGGTGGAGGAATGGAGGCCACAGGACAAGTGCCCGGCAGGGCGGTGGTCTGCACAAAATCCCATTTCCGAGAACATCTGTGTGAGTCTCTGTAAACTTGAGATGGAAAAACCAGGAATAAAACGCAAGCTACAGCAAGGGTCTCACACGGGCAGTGTTTGGCAGTATTTCACCAGGAGATTCAGAGTCCGGAAAACTCGTTGTTTTCCTCAGTTCTGCCCACACAATGCCATGTTTCTGTGTTCTCCATCTTAAAAACATAAAATGCCACAGAACTACGCATTAGATGGGAAGGTACTTTTGAGAACAGGGACTAAGGGGGGGGGGCATTTCCTCCTCCAGGCAGATCTAAGATGATAATGTCAGGAGGTGGCCCCCCGCTGTTCAAACTCCGGAAAGCCCCCGAGCGATGTTGGCACTGGCGAGATTTGGAAATCTGTGCACAGTTCCGCCTCACATCGTCATCCCTCCCCCTCCCCATCTCCAGTAAGATGACTACAAGGGTGATCTTTGGTCTATGTAGCCTTGCGATTCCAAAATAAAGCATCCCCTCGGTTACAATAACAGCCTCCAGACGGAGAACGCCCAAACACTGCAACACGACGCCACGTCCCTTCAGGCGGCAGGCTTTGTTTCCCCTTTCCGAGGAGCTTCTGGAACAGGCCACTGTCAGAGCCCATGTGACTGCAAGCCCACATCTACCTTCGCACCGTGACAGCTGATCTGTCCCCCCAGGACTGGAGACCACAGCCCCCGCCTTCCGCCGGGGAGGAGTGTGGCTCCACGCTGGGAAAGACAAGAACGAAGTGCACACGGCACAGTGGGCCTGGTCACTGAGCTGCACTCCGCTGACATGCGGCTGACATGGGATGGGTGGGTGGGTGCGGCATTCGATGAGTCCTTTATTGTTTTTAAAATGCTCGTCACTCGCAGATGCCGCTCCGCTTAGAAAACTAACACGGTCCAACGGCTCACTCCCTCGGTGCGACACTGGAAATTCCCGCGTTCTTGTTCCTGCCATTTATTCTGCTTCTTATTCATAGCATTCTACACGCTCGAAGCGATTATGGAAATTTCTAAAAAAAAAAAAAAAAAAAACACCTTTCCGGGAGAAACCTTTGGTACCGCACCGTTTTATTTCATACTCCACAGAATTATTCTGAACATTAGAATAAAAGGCTTAGACATTAGGCTTTGGTCTTCATGGAATCTGGGCCCAGGCGGGAACAGCTTTGGTGACACAATGGAACTAACCGCACAAATTCCAGTCTTGTCATCGGAAAGGACACGTTTACAAAGACGAGTCCCCCCCTTCGGCAGTTATGACCCGCAGCGTCCAGGTCGCTGAGAAACTCCCGAAGGGGGGCGGCCGTGGGGAGTGTGGGCGGGCGCCACATCGGGGGCTGCGCCAGGCACAACACCGGGAGGAGCGAGCATCAGTCCGCTGCTACGTGTGTCTCTAAGGCAGACGGTCCGACTTCTTACACAAGAGCTAAAATACGGTGCTTGTTAAGAGGTAGAAGATACTAAGACAGTGTCTGAAGACAATCAGCTATGAGCGACAAAGTCGCACTGCGGTGGGGAAGGAGCTGGAGGTTTTACACTGAAGGGGACACCCCGCACTCGGCGGAGATGAGGCCACACGGGGCAGGGGAGGGGGCAGAGGCCGGAGGCCGGGGTGCTGGGAGCAGGAACCAGTGTCTGCACTTGTCAAGGACTCGGCTGTCCCGGATGAGAAAGTTCCTTCTGCCTCTGCCTCTCCGGGATTTCATTCTGACGTTTAACTCCTGGGGATCGCTCGGCTTAACGGCAGTTCCTCTGAGTGACGGTCCAGTCTGCACGGGAGGCCAGCCAGCACAGGGAGGGATGGGCGCAGAGGGTTCCTCTTTGAGCCGCCAAGCTGAACTTGGGTGGTGTCCGCCTGGGTGAGCAACCCTGGGTGTTCTTCTCCTTTCTTAACGGACCCGGGAGACACGGATCGTTTTCTCTCCAACGTTAATTTTATAAGGCATCCGTTTAGTCTGAAATTTCCTAACCTTTGGGAAATTAGTGTTAAAGCTTTGTTTGCAACCCACGCATTAACGTTCAATCTTTCATTTTTATTAAATACTTTATAGATATATATAGATATATAAAAAAAAAAGCAATATCGAGGTGTTCTACATTCGTATAAACAATCATGATAACATCGGAAATTGTAAAGAACCCTAACCGAAGAAAATATATACTTGAATCCTTGCAACGCTACGCTAAGCACAGTGATCATGGGGGAAGGCTTTGTAAGAACGCAGACACAGGCTTGTGGCTCGGGGAGGCCGACGCGGGGGGAGGAGGACGGGACCTCAGCGTGCTTCTCGCCCCTCACCACAGGACGGGGTGGTCCAGCTGGGAGAAGCCGAGGTCCTTCCGCAGCTCCAGGTAGGTGCCGTTGCTCACCCAGGAGTCGTCAGCGGATTTCCTGTGGGAGGCAAGGAGGTCTTGAGGCTCTGGACAGTCCCGTCCTCCCCGCCCTCCCCCATTCCACCCTCACAGGCATACAGGTTTCCTGTGAGGTGCCTGCACACCTGGAACCTTCCTCCAGTTTCTGACCTTGTTCTCAGACACAGAGGCTGTCCAACATGGTGCCTCTGGGAGAAGATGGCCACCGCCTTGCGCATGACTGCATAACACTGAGTCACCCAGGGGGCTCAGATCAAGTGGGAAATTAACATGAAAAACAAATGGAGTAGCCGAAACCGGTGTGGCTCCGTGGATAGAGCTTCGGCCTGCGGACTGAAAGGTCCCAGGTTCGATTCTGGTCAAGGGCATGTACCTTGGTTGCGGGCACATCTCCAGTAGGAGGTGTGCAGGAGGCAGCTGATCGATGATTGTCTCTCATTGATGTTTCTAACTATCCCTCTCTCCTCCTCTCTGTTAAAAAAAAAAAAAAAAAATCAGTAAAATATATATTTAAAAAATACAATAAAAACCAACGGAGTAGGAAGCCATGGCGGTCTGGAGAGAACTGCCTGGTTCACCTTTCTTGGACAACATAATATATTATGTAAATTCAAGTTCAAAAGTTGAATGGCTAGAAGAGTTTTTTACTCCAGTCTCCCAGATCCTCCAGAAGCAAGTCTCATCGGCTTCATTCTTTCAGAGAAAGTTCATGCATGCGTGAGGTACACACACACACACACACACACACACACTCCACCCCTCTCCCACTCACTCAATGGGTAGCACTGCGGTGTCTACCCCTTGAGTTTTCGGCATAACAATACATAGTGGAGACCATTTTCCATAGTCACGGTAAGGTCAGCAGAGGACAGCCCAGAGCCCACCCCAGCCTCCTGCCTGCTGTGCAGGTTTCACTGGCCTGTGACCATGCCATCGTGGAAGCACTGTCTGCGGCTGCTTTCAGGCTGCAGCGCAGGCCTGAGAAGGCACTGCTGAGCCCTCGTGGCCTGCAAAGCTCACAGTACTTACCATTTCCCTGTACGGAAAGAGTCCGGTGACTCCCACAATAAGAGATGTCTCATTTTTAAAGAACACAGTTACCTAATAGTCCATCGCAGGGATGGAGCGCGACTTAACAGGGAACCTACAGGGTGGGCATTTAGGAAGTTGTTTTCAGTCTCTAGCTATTATAACCATGTTTACAATAATATAATAAACATATAATATCCTATTTTATATCTGTATACATTGAAAATTCCTGTAAGGAGAGCTGCTGAGTCAAGGAGTATGTATATTTGTAATTTTGATGGATATTGTCACGTTTTAGGAGCTAAAGTAGTGAGTGAGTGCCTGTTGTTCCCCTCTCGGGAACGCCCCCCCAGGCTGCCTCCCCGCTCTAGTGAGGGGTGTGTTTGCAGGGAGCCCGCCTGCATAGCGGATCCTTCCCTGCGAGCCAGAGGCCCGATGGTGCCCGAGCTCCGTTCCCACCTGGAATTCCCGGTGACGTTCCCACCGCTCCTCAGCGGTGTGAACGGAGACATCCAGGCCCCACCCTCCTCTCTGTCACCCCCTGTCCGGCCCTGACACTTTTGTAAGAAAACCCAAAGGGAAGAGGGAAGAGGGCCGCTGCAGACAGAGTCTGAGTCAGGGCAGCCGGCCGCACTTTACAGTTTGCATTTAATGTTCATTTGCTTCCTGGCGGCTCCCACTCTGAGAGTCATTCTGATGTTTCCACATCAGATCGAGTTGATGAGTCTCCGTACCTCGTTCTTGGGCCAGTATGGTTACCTACAACGTTTAATGATTCTGAAAAATACTGCAACAAACACTTTTCTAAATGCAGACTCGCCTTATTAAAAATGACAGATTTATGAGGGGAAAAAAGAATTGATCTTCTTAAGGGTATATGTGTGTATCAGTTGATCCATTTATCTGTACCTTGCCATAAAAAATAAATTAAGGTCTTATTTTAAAAATATTTACATGAAGATATGAACATTTTGGGAAGGTTAATTTAGCCCGTTAATCTTCACTCGCTGAGTTTGTAAAAGTGATCAGAAGGCACCTCCCACATCAGCTTTGGAGGAAAAAGCATTGTATTTGGGGAGCAGAACATTGCTTACTGCTGTTCTGGAAAACACCCTCTATCGCTTCTGTGGTAGATTAGTGCTAATTCCTCCCGAAAGGGCTCCCGTTGCCCATGAAAAACTGCCAACAACAACATCCACCAAACAACACAAACCCTGGTTGCCCTGAAAGTAAGACTCAGAGGGAGAGGGAGGCAGGAGCTCCTGGCTTTTCCACAAGTGCCTGTTTTAATGTTAATTTAAGGAAGTATTTGCTGAAACCGGTTTGGCTCAGTGGATAGAGCGTCGGTTTGCGGACTGAAAGGTCCCAGGTTCGATTCCGGTCAAGGACATGTACCTTACTTGGTTGTAGGCATATCCCCTGTAGGGGATGTGCAGGAGGTAGCTGGTCGATGTTTCTCTCTCATCAATGCTTCTAGCATTCTATCCCTCTCCCTTCCTCTCTGTGGAAAATCAATAAAATATATTTTAAAAAGAAAATATTTAACAAAAGCCTAAAACCATATAGAGCCCTGGCCTGCTGGTCCAAGAGCCAGGCTCTGGTCTAGGACATTCCACGGGGCCCTTCCACAGTCACACCCCTCTCCCCCTCCCGCTCCCTGGGTCTGTCTGTCTTTCTTTCTTTCTTTCTTTCTTTCTTTCTTTCTTTCTTTCTTTCTTTCTTTCGTGTGTGTTTTAATACATTTTTATTGATTTCAGAGAGGAAGGGAGAGGGAGAGAGAGAAAGAGAGAGATAGACATCAGTGATGAGAGAGAATCATTGATTGGCTGCTTCCTGCACGCCCCACACTGAGGATCAAGCCTATATCCAGGGCTGGTGCCCTGAATGGGAATCGAACCGTGACTCCTGGTTCACAGGTCGACACTCAACCACGGAGCCACACCTGCCGGGCTGGATTTTTCTGAGTTAAAATAAAAGAGACGGCGAAGGGCTGATGACCTCTGATGCCCCTTCTACAGCTTTATTGTTTTTAACGAGACCTTCGTGGCAAGTTACCCTGTTCCCCGAAAATAAGACAGTGTCTTATATTAATTTTTTCTTCCAAAGTTGCGCTAGGTCTTATTTTCAGGGGATGTCTTATCTTCCCATGCTCTAGCTAGGTCTTATTTTCAGGGGATGTCTTATCTTCCCATGCTCTAGGTCTTATTTTCAGGGGATGTCTTATCTTCCCATGCTCTAGCTAGGTCTTATTTTCAGAGGATGTCTTATTTTCGGGGAAACACGGTACTTTAGAATGAATAGTACAGGTTCCAAGCCCAAGCCCAGTGCATTGGGAGTTCTGCGGTGTGGACACGTGCTTCCATGGAGGTAGCCAGCGGGGTGATCCTGAGTGATCTCTCGCTGTGTCACACACACCCCGGCGGGGGACCACGCTCGGACACGGACTTAACAAGCTGGCCGGCCTCGGGGACCACGTGAGGGCGGTCTCCTTGCTCCCCCACAAGCACTCCCTGCAAACTCGCTTCCTTGCAAACTCACTGGGCTGGACGCCCTGCGACACAGTAGAGGCGGCAAGAAGACAGGGTGCTGGGGAGGAGGCGGCTGGGACAGCCAGCGCCCAGAGTCACAGAAGGGAGATGTCACCCCTCTGAAGCTGGAAGCGCATCAGGGACCTCTTATTTGGGGAGGAGACAGCCCTGTTCCCTCTCTCCACACCAGAAGCGCCCGGTGCCGCCAGCCCCCGCCCGCCCACCGCCCGGGCCGGGCGCCCACCTGAAGAAGCGCGGCTGGTGCTGCACGTTGTTCTCCTCCAGCGTCCGCCGCCGGTCCCGCTGCAGCTGCTCGATCCGCTGCTTCTGCGCCTCGGCCTCCTCCACGTTCCCCTCCTCCAGGAACCTGGGCGTGGGGGGGGGCAGAGGGACTGAACGCCGCGGAAAACGGAGCCACGGCACGGCTGACGTGGCAGGTGTCCACGCTGGATGTTCCAAACACTCTCCTCCGCACAGGCCCTTCCCCAGCCCCTCAAACGAGACCGTGGTTTTAGATCGGCGGCATGTACGTACGAACATGTCCAACAATCATGTCTGTGCAAAGTGATTCGGAGCAAAGTCTCCCATTCATCCTCGTCTCTCATTCTTTCACCTGTTTCCCGCCCCCCCACCCCCCACGCCACTGCGCAGGTAACCCAGTGCTGTTAGTTCCTGGTGCGTTCTCCCAGAGAGTCTACACCTTTTGAAGATATAAATGGTAGCATGCTACAATGCTGTCTATGCCGTGGCTTCTTTTGTTTTACCTTTTTAAAAATTCTCACCGGAGGCTATTTTTTTCGTTGATTTTTTTTTTTAAGAAAGAGTGGATGGGAGGGAGGAAGAGGAGAGGAGAGCATGAAACATTGATGTGAGAGAGACACACTGATTGGTTGCCTCTTGTATGCACCAATTCGGGTCGAGGGGTTGAGTCTGCAAACCAGGTACATGCCCTTGACCTGGAATGGAACCCTCAACCCTTCGGTCCACAGGCCGACCTCTAACCACTGAACAAAACCGGCCAGGGCTTGTTTCACCTTTACTTGACAATACGGGGTGGGGAGAAAGTAGCTTTACAGTTATGAGTACTGAAACAGAGTTCATTGTTGTATTATTATTAATTATCTTATTATTTTCTATACGAACAACTATAAACTACTTTTGCTCCACCCTGTATGTCTTGGAGATCTTCCTTGGTTGCACACAGACATCGTTCATTTTTTATATAGTTGTGTTATATTCAATTGTGTGGACATACCGGAATTTATTTAAATAATTCCCTGCTGACAGACACTGGGGATGCTTCCAATTTTTAAATGTAATTTATCATGAATGCTGCAATGAATGACCGTGTCTATCTGTCATTTTGTGCATGGGTTAGTGTCCCTGAAAGGAGAACTTTCCAGAAGTGAGATTGCTGGGTTAAAGGGTGAGTTTGTAATATACACATAACCAACTGCCCTTCATGGGGATCATACAACCCACATCGCCACCAGCAATGCCACTGGTGTGCCTCTGCCCCAGCCTCAGCGCACTCCGCACTGTGAGTCCTTGCCGTCCGACGGGTTAGGAAACGGGACGTCCATGGGGCTCTAAGATTTCATCTGTGTGTGTGAGCCGGAGCATCTCCCAAGTTTGAGGGATATCTGCATTTCTTGATTTGTGACCTGTTCATGTTCTTATGTCCTTTTTTAAAATAAGTTGACCTTGGTTTCTAGAACCAGTTCATGAAATGAGCTGCAAGTGCAGATTCCTCAGTTTGTCATTTATCTGTTCACTCTGAGTATGTACTTTATTTACTTTGTCATGAAAGGTGTTGTTGGATTTTTTTCTCTCTTTTTTAAATAAAGTCAAATGTTTACGCTTTCTTCTTCTTCTTCTGAGTTTTGGATCTTAATTAGAAAGGCCTTGGAGGGGAGGTAATTCTTTCCATTTTATAAAGTAGGAATCTGAGGCTGAGAAAGATTAAAAGACTTATATGCCCACAGCTTGTTAGCAGCAAACAAAGAATCAAACGTTGGCTCTCAATGCATCGAAATAATTCAAATTCTAGGGGTGGAGGAGGAGGATGCTTTTTATTCTTTCAGTAAGTTTTATTTTTATGGAGTGCAGTGAAACTCTTAAGAATGAACACTGTTTTGATACTTCAATAGAAATGGGCTCTCCTGATGACTGAAAGCCACGCCTACACAGCACTAAGTGGGGCTCGTTCCTGCCGCGTGGCTGCTTCCCCCTGGCCCGCTCTTCCTGATGACATCATCTCTCTCAGGCCCTCTGTGCCCCGGGAGTTGCTAATAACAGTCTTTATAAAACCTTTTCCATCTCTGGAGACAAAGATTGGAAAAAACAAATCCTTACCTTTGGTCTGGCCTAAATCGAGTGTCAGTGGGTGGTAATAAAGTCTTCAAGGATGAATCGATTTCATTTAATTCCAGTGCAAACTGTGTGAAGCCATAATACTGCTCGTAGCCCTTGGGCATGGGATCTATGAGGAAAAGAGATCATTCATCCCGGACTTGCATTTCATTTCATTTCATTTCTTTAACTTTTTTTATTTCATTGATGTTACTTTTTAAAAATATATATAGTTTATTGATTTTTTTTTACAGAGAGGAATAGAGAGTTAGAAACATCGATCAGCTGCCTCTTGCACACCCCCTACTGGGGATGTGCCCGCAACCAAGGTACATGCCCTTGACCGGAATAGAACCTGGGACCCTTCAGTCCGCAGGCCGACGCTCTAGCCACTGAGCCAAACCGGTTTTCAGCTGATGTTACTTTTTAATTCCTTCACCGTTTTCATCTCAGACCAGATGAAATTTCTCTCAGCTCTGAACTCTTTTATTTCTATTAAGATATCCTGGTTAACCAGCAGAGGCTGAATGCTGCCCGGTACGTTTTCTTCTCTACAAGTTTTCTCCTACCTACAACGATAAGGCCTCCTCTCTATGGTCGCACAGCAAATTTATAAAACACTGTGAAGCTTCTAGACGGTTTAAGCTATAAAAATTGTTCATTTACTAAAATAAACTACCTGTAAAAAAAGCTCTCCGTCCATTTTTCCTGACAAACAATACTGCTACTCTAGAATCCAGGTGTGTTCTTTAAAATACTCACCCAGGGGGAGGGTGGGAGGAAGAAAGAGAGAGAGAGAGAGGGAGAGGAGGGACAAACAGAAATTAGTTGCCTTCTGTAGGTGCCCTGACTGGGAATCGAACCTGCAACTCAGGTATGTGCCCCAATGGGGAATCGAACCGGCAACCCTTCAGTGCACAGGACGACACTCAACCAACCGAGCTGCTCCAGCTGGGCTAGAGAATCCATTTTTCATTTTAGAGATGCCAACTTCTCTAAAACTATGGCTCCTTCCTAAGATGGTGCTGGTGCCGAAACCGGTCTGGCTCAACGGATTGAGCGTCGGCCTGTGGACTGAAAGGTCCCGGGTTCGATTCCGGTCAAGGACATGTACCTGGGTTGCGGGCACATCCCCAGTGGGGGGTGTGCAAGAGGCAGCTGATCGATGATTCTCTCTCATCGATGTTTCTAACTCTCTATCCCTCTCTCTTCCTCTCTGTAAAAAAATCAATAAAATATATTTTTTAAATGGTGCTGGACTCCTAGCAAGTGACCAATAAACGTTATTCTTTCTCCCACACCTGCCCTGCTTCTCACATACTTTAATGTAAAACCATCTCAGCAGAAGTCAGTTATAGAGGGATTATGCTGGTAGAAACACAGCCACTGGGACTAAGGGGATGATGGGAAAGAAGAAGAAAGCTATGGGTTACTGGCATTTCACAGGCTGGGACCACAGAGTGCTCCAGCTGCACAGGAGCTAAGGGGCGAGTGACTCGGTGACTCAGAGGCCCCCAGGCTGCCGCTGCTGCTGCCACGGCAGGCCTGGATGGCCTAGGCCTCGGGGGTGAGGCTGCCCCCACCTAGCGGAAGATGGGCCCAGTGCTGCAGCCCAGCGAGCCAGGTGGCCACCACCCGGAGCCTGGGGGCCCAGAGGGTTATTCTGGTCCCTTACTGCCGAACGATATTTTCTCCTTGCCAGTTTAGGCTTGCTTGGGGCCTGTCATCCCTTGTGTGTCTCCCTTCGGAATGCCGATCCCGTGCCCGTCCCATCGCTGTATTTTGGAAGCACAGGTTGGTTCCCCAGGCTCACAGCTGGAGGGGATGAATCACACCGCAAGCCTCACCCACGCCTGACTGACACTCAGATGACGACCTCGGACGTGAGAGCTGATGCTGAAATTAGGTAAATTGATGCTGAAATCTGGGCGGCTGCTGGGATGGAATAAGCAGATTTTGCCTGTAAGGAGGACAGGAATCTGGGGCCCAGAGGCAGAGTGTTAGAGCCTGCATGTATCCTCCCAGAATTCACAGGGTGAAGCCCTCCCCTCCGTGTGGCTGTGTTTGGAGCAGGGCCTCTGAGGAAGTTATAACCGTGAAATGAGGTCAGAAGGGCAGGGCCCTGAGCGTGTGGCTGCCTGCGAGCCGGGAAGAGGCCCCTCACCAGGACCCAAACGTGCCAGCACCTTGATCTTTGATTTCCCAGCCCCCAGGACTACGAGAAAATACATTTCCGTTGTTTAAGCCAACGTACCCAGTGTGGTGTACGTTGTCATAGCAGTCCAAGCAGATTCACCGAGATGTATTGCCCTGGCTTGAATTCCAGCTAAAAATCAAGCTAAAAGTACCCAAACTTACAAATTGGGTAAATCAAACACAGGCCAATAAGATCAGTCAAAGCCGGAGCTCTTGCTGCTCACACAGACGAATGCAAATATCTTCCATGAACTTTCTTCAACCCCCCCCACCCCCCAGACCATTTTTGAAGTTTCAGAAGTCCCTTCTGTCAAATTCTAGGTCTAATTCTCTGAGTATCCTAAACGTGAAAATCCTACCAAAGCTTCCTAATCTATCCCGCTCCCTCCCCCGGAGCGAAGACGGTGTGTTCCGTGGAGACGGAGGGGCTGGCTGCCCACGGCCGGCAGAGACCCACAGCCAGGGAACAGCACCCACAACAGGAGCAGCGGCTGGCACAGCGCTCTTCCACCAGGCTCCACTTCCCCCCCAGAGGGGACCGAGCTCCGCGGGGATGCACGCCGGGACCCTCCCGGAGAATGCTTCCTTTGCAGGATCTCCCGTGCCCCTGAGCCTGTGCAGCTAGGACGGCGGCCAAGGCGCCAATCCCCTCCCACTGCGACTCCCCTGCGGTGGAGGGGGAGGCCGCCGCCTCTGAAAGAGACGCTGCTGGTGCCTCTGCTACAGCATCTCCCTTCCGGCCTCGCTATGGAGATGCTCACACACTGGTCAGGCGGCCCTGTGTCCTCCCTCGAGGATGCGTCCACCCATCTGACTCGCTCCTGCCCACCCAGGTGCCCCGGGTCACTGTGGGATGGGGCTTTGGACCCGCTTCAGGCTGACAAAATGTAAGGGCATATCCGGGGGCCCTTCCTTCCTGCGGAAGGAGCTCGGCGGAGAGAGTGCTCCTGTCCTCCCTTCTCCCTGCGCGGCGAGCTGCCCCGGGGATACCATGCTTTTACATCCACGAGGGACAATCATGGTCCTACTGGGAGTCACAGAAGGTGCCCTCAACGATCTGCGCCCCCTCTCAGCAACCCAGGCGCCCCCCCCCCCCCTTACTATTAAGTATGGGCACACAGCCTAATGCTTTAAGACGCATTAGAAGGGCTTTGTTTTGTTTTGATTGGTCCTAACGGTGGTCTCTCGGCACAACGGGTTTATAACGTGACCGAGACTGGGAAACACACTTGGGAGATGAACTAAGTCTGAGCTCTGGGAGCCCGTGAGGAGGGTCTGGCTTCCCTGTCCTCCTCCCACAGCTGCTTCCGGCTCGGCATCCTTGTGGGATGGCAGGTGCGGCCGGAGTGGCTGTGAAGCTGGAGGGGTCTGGGGATCCCTAACTCTCGTAGAACCCCCAGGTCACCCCGCTTTCCCGGTAACATTTCCCTCTTTGTCCTGCTGAAGAACGGCTTCTTGTCCCCGACTGATGTCCCTTCTGTGCCCGGGCTGATGGGAGACGGTGGCCATGCGTTGGCTATGGCCTCGTTCTGGGATAAGAACCCAGGGCCTCCCAGCGGACAGTGGTGCTGCTGACGAGCATGGGAATGAATCTGAGACATGATCCGGTGAAGGAAGGAGGGATCGACAGCCCTAACCGGTTTGGCTCAGTGGATAGAGCATCAGCCTGCGGACTGAAGGGTCCCAGGTTCGATTCCGGTCAAGGGCATGTACCTTGGTTGCGGGCACATCCCCAGTGGGGGGTGTGCCGGAGGCAGCTGATCAATGTTTCTCTCTTGTCGATGTTTCTAACTCTCTATCCCTCTCCCTTCCTCTCTGTAAAAAAAAAAATAAATAAAATATATTTAAAAAGAAGAAAAGAGGGACTGATACCTCAGACACAGTTAGAAGCAGCCGGAGACTCCATGGCCGCTGACACCCAAGGCAGCCGCCCGCCCCGCCCCGCCCACACCCCCGGGCCGTCCCCTGGCACTGACTGGCCCTCCAGACGCAGGTGGAGGAGGACGGGCCTCCGTAGTAGATGCTCTCGTGCCATTTCCCGAAGAGCCGGTGCACCGCCTTCCCGCTCTTGTCATACACCGTCCCTTCGATCTCGCGCGAGTTCGTGCTCCAGTATTTTGCCTGGGATTCCAAGGGGAGAGTTGACGGATTAGTATTTTGGGGTCAGCTTAGTACCGGACATGAAGAGGGGGAGGGGAGAGGAAAAAGAAAGAACCGAAAGGGAAGTTCTATATTGCATATGGTTTGCCAGTTTTGGACTCTATCTCGTTTTTAAAATCACACTTTTAGTTATTTAAGAAATATGAAGAGCTAGCCCCTTTAGAGTTTGCAATCTCAACCAGCCACCATTCGGGAATTCCATGTGTGTGTAAGAGACTTTTTTCCTTACTTTTTCTACATGCAGAGAAATAGGAAAGCTCAACTCTCCATCAGCTAAATAGTGTGGTTAGCCTGTAAGCCCCCACACATGGATCGAACCTGCAACCGAGGTACGTGCCCTTGGTCCGAATCAAACTCAGGACCCTTCAGTCCGCAGGCCCACACTCTACTGACTGAGCCCAACTGGCCAGGGCCTGACAACTGCAATTTAAAAGAAATGTATTTCACTTATTTATTTATTTTTTCTCTAAAGGCACAAGACAGTCTTTTGTAAACCAATAAAGGTGGCTGCCTTGTAATCCAATAAATTTTCTATCATCCCCCCCCCCCCCCCCCCCCCAAATCCAGATCTGTTCATCTAACTACAGGAGCCTTAGGCAACGCATATCCACTCTGTGGTTGGTCCAGGTCTGAGACCAGCTGGGCCCAGCTCAGCCGGGAGGGTTTTATGCAGTACTAGGCCGCGCCCAGCAGAGGGAGCTCTAACACCCTAGAGTCGATTTTCTCCAAACCTTTCAATTACCTGACTGCCCTTCAAAATCCCTATGGGGGGGGAGGGGGGGGGCATTACTCCATAAGTCAAAATCCAATTGCTGTTTTCAGCCAAAACAGGGTCTATATTTGGAAGCCTGTGAGGTTGAGTGGCATTTTCAGGCCACATTGCCAGGCTGGTAAACAAGGGAGGCAGGGAGGCGCGGCATCTCCACCTGAATCAGATTCATACCCCCGTCCCCGCGTCCCGCAAAGCCGAGGAGGAACCTATAAATACCGCCCGGCTCCGAGCTTCTCCGAAGCAGCACTCGGACTTCCTCCGTGCAGATGTCTGCCCACAGTCCACTGCAGGGGAGGGGCAGGCTCTTCTCATCTCTCACGGACACACACACCTGCTCTGTCTCCCTCAGGGGCAGGTGCCACGTGGGCAGCCGGGGGCCTTGGGGGAAATGCGGGCCAAGGGGGCTCACGGGAGCAGGGCGCGCAGATTCCCGTGCCAGGCGGCCTCTTGCTTCTGCTTTGCAGGGAGCTTAATGAGGCTTTCAGGCAGGGCCGTGTTTACTTCATGTGCGTCTCTACCAGGCTTATGTCCGACTACCGCCCAGTTTGACTTATGGGGTGTAAGAAAGATCCCAGCCCAGCCCTAGCTGGTTTGGCTCAGTGGATAGAGCGTCAGCCTGAGGACTGAAGGGTCCCAGGTTCGAGTCCAGCCAAAGGTACATGCCCGGGTTACGGGCTCGATCCCCAGAGTGGAGTGTGCAGGGGGCAGCCGATCAATGATTCTCTCTCATTGATTCTCTCTCAATGTTTCTATCTCTCTCAATCTCCCTTCCTCTCTAAAATCAATAAAATATATATTCTATATAAAAAAAAAGATCCAAGTCCATCTCTTAATCATGTCCCCCACCAGCGTTAGAGAGGTACCCCAGGAAGTCCCACAATCAGAACCTAACTAATAACTTCGCTTAGAACTTGGATCTGAATTCAGGGCAAACAGTTCTTTGAGGGGGTAACACTCCAAGGCCATGTTAAGTATGGGATTTGCAACAGCAAGAGGGGATCTGAGGAGGAAGTGGGGAGAAGGCTCCGGTTAACGCTGGAGGGCCACGCTGACGGGCAGGTGTTCTGCCTCAGGCCAACTGCTCCCTCATCCTGTGCTCAGTCTGCTGGGGTCCAGGCCCCGTTTCCGGGCGGCAGCTGCGCCCCGAGTGAGAGTGAGGAGTGAGAGCGAGCAGGCGGCTGCTTTTCTGGAGCCAGGAATGGCGAGGGAGGTGTGGGGAGCAGAAAGTAAACACGTAAATCCACGGGGCAGCTCACTACAGACAGCAATAAGAAAATGGGACGTGATAGAGTCACTGACAGGGCAGGGCAGGTGACGGAAGGATCTGGGGGGAGAGAGTGAAGAGAAAGGCCAGGGCGGTCAGAGGACAGAGAGGAAGGATTGGGATGAGGGGCCGGTAGGAGCTGAGGTTGGAGAGGAGAGAGGTCAGTGTGCGTGTGTGCGTTGTGTGTGTGTACACACACGTGTTTGTGAACTGGATGTTTCTAGCTCTCTATCCCTCTCCCTGCCTCTCTGTAAAAAAAAAAAAAAATCAATAAAAAATATATTTTTTAAAAATTAAAAAATAATAATGGAGAGAATCCTTGATCTGCGGCTTCCTGCATGCCCCACACTGGGGCTCGAACTGTGACCTCTTGATTCACAGGTCGATGCTCAGCCACTGAGCCGTGCTGACCGGCTGACCTATTTCAGAAGAGCCCCCTGGCTGCTGCCCTGAGGAGGGACCAGAGGGGAGGATGGCGGAGGCTGGAGGAGCTGTGGCCCTGGCCCAGGTGAGCGGGGGGCTGGGACCAGGCCCCGGCCAGCACTGCCTGTCTGCTGGCACAGAACTGAGGGCCAAAGGCCCCCCACGGCCCCGAGGCCCAGCTCTTAGGCCTTCCCGGGGGGAGCAGAGCCCCGGGCCGCGCCCACCTTGATGAAGTTCACTTTGCAGTGGCAGGAGTCGTCATTCAGGTTCTTGATGATGATCTCCCCGTAGTGCTCGATCCACCGCTGCCCGCTCAGGATGTTATGGATGCAGGAGGTGACTTTGTTCCACTCAAAGTGGTCCCCGAAACTAGAGGAGGGAAAGGTGGGAGGGAAGGGAAGTGGTCATGGGGAAGAATGGGGGTTTTCACAATCTGCTCGCTCTCCACACATTCGTGTGCACACACATGTATACCTGCATACAGGGACACACGTGTGTGTGCATATTACACACCTATGTGTATACCCACATACAGCATATGTGTAAACCTTAAGATACATATATCTTAAATCTTTTACAATGAGGGAGTATTCAGATTCCAGTTCAACAGGTACATAATAATGATATAAGACCAAACACTTGGATGGCACTCGCCATGTGCCAAGTACTAGTTAACGTGTTTGTTTTCACAACAGTCCTATGAAGTGGGCGGTGCACTGTTCCCGGCTCACAGGTGGCAGCACTGGAGGCCGGAGAGGTTACGGAACCCCGGGATCTGCCCTCAGCTGCAGCAGAGCGAGCTCCGGGGTCCCAGCCGCCTGGCTCCAGGGGCCACGTTCTGTTTTATGAAAAGTATCAACCGTCCCTGAAAGGTCACGGCCACACCTTTCTGAAAAGGAATTCAGACCGCGAGGCAGGACGACACGTTAACGAGAACCATCACTCTTAGTTTTGTTGGAAAGCATAAATGGATTTTTTAAAAGTGTCTTTTTTAGTCTCTAAGAAGCATTTTCATTTGAGGGAAATAAAATGTGAGGTCGTCACAATAAGGAACGCTCGCATTTACTGTCAAACAGATTAAAAAACCAAACCGGACACCAGCGCAGGCTGCGTCTTGGCCCTGAATTCTCCGAGGCTCCCAACCACAGAGGCACTTACGCCGGCAGAGTCACGTGGGTTGTGCCGATGGGAACGATTTCCATGGATTTGCCCCAGAACTTGTTTTTCCACCTCACATCTGAAAGGAAGTAATACCGGGCTTACACATTACCGGGAGAGCTAGGTCGACAAGAGTTCTTCGGCTGCATAAATGATCAATCACGACATCAAACAATCTCTCCATAATAAAACCCCCCTTATCATACGGGATAACTTTAAAATATATACACTTTTTACTGATTTCAGGAAAGGGAGAGGAAGAGAGAGAAATATCAATGATGAGAGAACATCATTGATCAGCTGCCTCCTGCACCCTCCTACTCCCTCATTGGGGATCAAGCCTGAAACTCAGACATGTATCTCAACTGGGAATCCATCTGTGACCTCCTGGTTCATTGGTCAATGCTCAACCACTGAGCCCTGCTGGCTGGGCACAGGATAACTTTTTATTCTCTACTAGTGGCCCGGTGCACAGATTTGTGCACATTGAAAGGAAATTAATTAGAAGGTGGCCGGCAGGACAGAACTGGGTGAGACGGGCTGGACACGCCCTGGAGCCAACTTCCCACGGTCCCTCCCTGGCCGGCCACAATGGGGGTGGTGCTGTGGCTTGAAGGGTGTCTGCAGAGTGAGCGGGATCCCTCGGGCAGGTGGGGTCCTTCGACCTGGCTTGCAAGGGTCAGGCTGAAACCAGCACTCTGACAACCCCAGAGGGGTCCTGGAATGCCAGAGGGCACTCTGAAAAGTTGCTCTTGTACTGGGTGTGGAGCACAAATTCAAGTGTGTGGTAAACTACATTCGGGGCCAACAGTGCCCCAGCACGACCCCATGAGGAACTGGGACCCTCATCTCTAGTTTCAGGGTACATCACCTGAGAACTGCCACGGCCAAGTCACTGCAGCTCAGCAGCTCCTGTATTGGGCAAATGCCCCCTGGTGGTCAGTGCATGTCATAGCAACTGGTCGGATGGTCGGACACTCAGTATATTTGCCTTTTATATATAGAGAATAAGTAAAAATTGAACACTAGGGAAGCTAATGAGAAGATGAAGTCCCTCCCTAGGGAGAGCTCACCAGCTCTACCTGAGTGTGTTGTGTGGTGAGATGGAACAAGGACATGCTTGGTTAGAGAGAAGAGTGGGAAGACAGATGGGTACGAAGGCCACTGGGCTCTACAGCCTGGCTAAGAAGGCTGGTTTGTGCGCCTCAGGGGAAAATAAGTGTTTGTTCGGACAGAGATCAGGTGTGATTAGATTCAGACTCTGCAAAGACAACTGGCAGCAGCGTGGAGAAAGGAACCGGAGCAGGAGAGAGGAGGAGCAGGAGAGAGGAGGAGCAAGTGCAAGGCCAGCCCAGCGATTCCGAGTCCAGGGCCCACTTTTAATCTTAACGAGCATTTCACAGCCGGTCCTTAATAAAGTAAAAATCTATAACATCACAAAACACGATGGGGTTGAAAAGGTTAGCAGGCACATTACCTTGCCAGAAAACAAAATTTTCAGACTCAGCGTGACACGCAGAGATGGGCGGGTGGTGGCTGACCTGTCGGAAACAAAGGCCAGAAACAAAACCAGTATTAACGTCTGTGTCTCGTGAAGTCCCTCCTTCGCCCTTGCACTGAGATGTAACAACGCGCAGGGGCCCAAGTGCACGAATGCTTCCTTGGTTTGCTTTTAACAAGCCTGCCCTGCAGAGGGCGCTTCTAATGCGGCCAATTCCAGTTTGCTCCAGTGTGTCAGGGGTGAATGGGAGCCTCGGAGACAAGTGGCAAAGTGAGCGATGGGGGCAGAAAGACGAGAAAATAAAAACAGGGGCATGCCAGGGCCGCCTGCTCACAAACCCTCAATCTGACACTGGCTGCCCATGTCAAAATCCCCATCAGCTGTCCTGAAAGCACCCGCATTTAATTAGATTGTCAAATCACAAATATTCTTAAACCCTACTTCTAAGCAACACAAAAACTCCCAATGCCTCAGCAGATTTCACTCTTTTGAAAATTGCATCACATGTCCAGTCTCTTTGCAAATTACCTACAGGAAGACCAATTCAAGATCATTAAAAAAAAAAAAAAAAAAAAAAAAAAAAAGAATTCTGTGTCTACAAAGAGCTAAACGAACCATTATTGAAGCAATATTAGTCAACTGCTATGAAAAAAAGTTTTATTCATTTTCCGTCATCATAGAAATACGCAGTTTGCGTTAAGAAGGCAATCACGTTCTGGAAAAGAGAGCCCCTGGCAGAGACGTAGCCGGCTCCCTGCCTCTGACACTGGAGTCGTTCCTTCTGTCGATTCACTGATGAGGGCGCTAATGAGGAACTGAGACCTCCGTCACTCGAGGCAAGTGAACGGTACGAGTCCGGTTATCATAATTCAGGATTAGTAAGACCAGGGTGACCTGGCCAGAAACTTCTGTCAGCTGGCTCTTAGCCAAACATCTACATGTAGAGCATCCAGCTAGAGGCTTCCCATCACAAACAAGGAGAGGGACCAGAAGGACTAAGTAAGGTTCCCAAACACACCGATAGGGAAGCAGCAAAGGTAAAACCCAGCGCCTTTTGTTTGCAGCATGGTTTTCAGGGTGGGGATGGAGATGGGGGCTGACAAAGGCTCAAATCCACATCTCTGGACCCTCAGGAACGTGGTCTGAAAACCACTTCCAGTTGCCACCCCTATTGGCAGAGCGCGGCAGGGGCGGCTTCATCTGGAGTCCTGTCACACACACATTTAACGGGCGGATTCACCCGCCAGCTCGGCCCAAAGAGCAGCAGCGGCAAACGTCTAAACCGCTGTGGCCTCTCTCAGCTCTCAAGAGCACAGATCTCAGATCCAAGATGAGATGGTGCATCTTTGCTGCCCCGGGATGGTTCTGCTTCCCACGGGCCTCCTACGAGCACAGCCCCTCCCTCTGCCTATGGGATTCGCAAGGGCAATTTCCACTTCCAGCCCTTGTAGAAACCTACCTCCTCAAATGCATATCCTATATAATAAAGAGGTAATATGCAAATTGACCCTCGTGCCCTCATGTCCCAAGATGGCTGCCCCCACATCATCTCAAGATGGCCGGCAGGGGAGAGCAGTTGGGGGTGAACAGGCCTGCAGGGAAGGGCAATTGGGGGTGATTGGGCCGGCAGGAGAGCAGTTAGGTGTCAATCAGGCCTGCAGGGGAGCGGTTAGAGGGCTACCTGGCTGGCAGGCAGAGTGGTTAGGGGCAGTCAGGCAGCCAGGCAGATGAGTGGTTGGAAGCCAGCAGTCCTGGATTGTGAGAGGGATGTCCAAAATCGGAAGTTGGACATCCCCTGAGGGGTCCCAGATTGGAGAGGGTGCAGGCTGGGCTGAGGGACACCCTTCCCTCAGTGCACAAATTCCATGCACCAGGCCTCTGGTGTATAAATGTAGCCAATGGGCCGAAACAGGTTTGGCTCAGTGGTAGAGCATCGGTCTGCGGACTGAAAGGTCCCAGGTTCGATTCCGATCAAGGGCATGTACATAGGTTGCGGGCACATCCCCAATAGGGGGTGTGCAAGAGGCAGCTGGTCGATGTTTCTCTCTCATCGATGTTTCTAGCTCTCTATCTCTCTTCCTTCCTCTCTGTAAAAATTCAATAAAATATATTTTTTTAAAAATTAATAAATGTAGCCAATGGACACAGGCACTGGGGGGGGGGGGCACATGCCAGGGGGTGCGGGGGTAGACGAGGCCAGGGGAGGTAAATGGGAGAAAAAAGGAGACATATGTACTATTGTAATACTTTAAACAATAAAAAATAAATAATTCCTATAATTTATTTACATGTCAGAGGTCTTTCTTCACCCTGACCTAATCATTTTTATTTATGCTTTGAATGTACCAAGAAGAGGGAAACAGATGGGAAAAGAATGCATTTAAATATTGGTGTATTTTGTAAGTTTTTCTTTTTTGGATTTATAAAAATATCCCTTAAATATATCAATTCTGCAGCTGTTCCAAGACCTAACTAGACAGTCCTCCTCGCTCCTGACTGGCCTCCAGCCTCGTAGGGCAACTTGTGGGGATCAAACCTACAACCCAGGTACGTGCCCTTGACTGGGAATTGAGCCTGAGACCTTCCACAGGAGTCACACCCCACCGGCCAGGGTGACTCTTGCATTGTAGTAACTTTCAGTAACTCCACTCGGCTCTTCTGCGGAGTGTGTGTGAATGGCCGGGTAAAAGGTTAAAATGCCTGCAACAGCCAATCAGGAAAAGCCACTCTCAGGAAATAGCTGAACTGTGCGTCCTAAATTTAGACACCAAACCTTTCCCAAAGGTACAACGAGAAGCCAGGCCAACTGAAGGGAGTTCCCCAGTGGCTGATGAAGCCCCACACGGCAGGGCTTTGTGCCCAGCAGCAGGGGGAGACAGTGAGGGTGACTCACCCACGGGAGACAGTGGGAGGAGAAAGGAAGTCCTTTCTGCAGAGTGCCGGCACCCTCATTCTCTCCCCACTTCCCCCACCCCGCAGGTTCTTATTTAGAAAGCCGAGGCTGAATCAGATTTCTTGGCACAAAGCAAACTCCTTCCCCGAGACGCTGGACCATATGACAGGAGTGTCTATAGCTGACTCCAGATGCAGCCCGACAGAGTCTGGGTGAGTCTGGAGGATGGAGGCCCAGTGACAATGGCAGACCAAGGCCCACAGCCTGAACAGAATAAAAGACCGTTTTCCATCGGCAGCCCAAGTCCAGCTGCTCTGAGCACAGCACCTAAACTACACAGAGACCCCAGGAGTGTGAGAGAGAAGGGACGGGGGTGGGGTGGTTGGGGGGGTGTATTCGATAGTAACAGGGCGGTGGCCGAGGGGCACCAGGAGGTGCTGAAATCAGGCGCCTGCACTTGATCCCCGCCTAGCCTGCGCTCAGGGATTTGGAAGACCAATAAGAACCTGGTCACAAAGCACCTGCACACCTTGGCTGTCATGAGGAAAACCTGAACAGCAATGTTTCCTCTGGTGTCTAACCGCGGAGCCATCCTGACACGGCATTTCTGGGAGAGAAACAGAGCTCCATGTCGCTGGACGCTGGGAGGAAGCCCTCACTTCACCCTCTCGGACCACTGACCGCTTCCAACACCCACGTTCCCTCCAAACGCACAGCAGCAGCCCAGGCGTGGCGGGAATGCCTACGAAACACAGCAGAGAAGCCGAGCCACCCTCGTTCCTTTAGTCCTTCCACTGGGAGATCTGATGTCCATCGACGTCCTCGTTAGAATAAAGTCCCACCCAAATGTCAACTTGGGGGTCCCCTTCCCAGTTCATGCTATTCGTCCTTCGGTGACCTCTGCTCAATGTAGGGGTACAAGGAAGCAAGGAGCCCCGCTCGGAAAGCTCAGTGTTTGTGTCGCCTCCACGTCACGGACGAGGGTGGCCGTGGCTGGCCCCGTGGAGGGGAACATCTCCTGGGCAGGAGGCAGGAGCCATGCTGGCGGGGACCGCCGGGACAGAACAGACGCCCCGGGCCCTTTAGAGGTGAAAGCAGGAGGCCTCTGCATGGGGCCGGTGTCACCAAGGGCAGATGGAGGAGAGGGGGAGACCGAGCTGAGGAGTCTTCTGCTGGCAGGAAAGGGAGGGGCCCGGCCCAGCGGGTTCAACAGCCGCCTCTCCTGCTCTCGGCGCTCTCCTCCTGATTGCAACGTTGGCTCCCCGAGTGCTCTGCCCGGGGGGCAGTCGGCCTGGGCACGCGTACCAGCCTCCTGGTCCCCAGGGCGGGTCTGCCTGCCTGTCAGTGCAGAGCAGCATCCAGTTCACGCATCATCTCCTGCCACCTCAGCTCGTGGGCCTGTCCCTGGGGGGCCCATGCATTCGTGGGTGTAATAAACGGACCAACCGCCCAGGCCACAGGCTCAGCTCCCGGCACGGGCAGCGGCCCCGTGACCATGCGGGTGGCACCGCCCCGGGGAAGCCGGCCGTGGGCACTCCTGCCGCCTCCTGCCTGGCTCTCTGCCAGAGGCTCACAGTGACATCGCGCCCCCTTCAAACCACCTGAGTCAGCAGCGCAGATACAGCACATCCCGTTTCAACATTCCTCTCCCTGTTCCTAACGCCGAATATTAAAAAAGACTCTTAAAGCTGCCTCTGAATGGAAGAGCCGGAACCGCAGGCTGGACGTTTACTCTGTACATCAGGGTATCGTTTCACCTAAGCCCTGCACACCCAGGAGCTAAGCACCGCCACTCTTACTGTGTCAGAGGCAACCGAGGCTCAGAAAACGCACGTCGCTTATGCAAGGCCTGGCACCGAGGCTGTGGGGGAGTCGGGATCTGGAAGCAGATCTACTTTCTACCCAGCAAACCCTCCGCTGCTCCCAAGGACCAGATCCCTCTGTGTTGCTCACAGGGACCAGATCCCTCTGCGCTGCTCCCAGGGACCAGATCCCTCTATGCTGCTCCCAGGGACCAGGTCCCTCTCACGCGCTGGCTTCCCGGGGACCAGATCCCTCTGCGCTGGCTTCCCGGGGACCAGATCCCTCTACGCTGCTCCCAGGGACCAGGTCCCTCTCACGCGCTGGCTTCCCGGGGACCAGATCCCTCTGTGTTGCTCACAGGGACCAGATCCCTCTGCGCTGCTCCCAGGGACCAGATCCCTCTCACGCGCTGGCTTCCCGGGGACCAGATCCCTCTCACGCGCTGGCTTCCCGGGGATCCGGTTCACAGAACTGAAGACCACGTTACGCAACGCTCTTTCCACCTCTGCGGCCCCCACCCCCCGCGGAAACCGGAGCAGGTGCTGAGCTCCGCCCTGCCCGCCAGGGCTCAGGTTACTATTGTTTCCTACACCTGCTCGTCCCGTCCTGATGGTGGCTGGGGTTCGGGGCTGTTTGGGGCCTTTATTTCTCCACACGACTGCGCAGAATGCCATGGTAACCAAACTGCACTTTCATCTATTCTCAAACCGTTTTAGCTTCGGTGCTGAAACAACCCTCTTGAACTTGAATCGGATTATCATATCCCTTTAACTACTGATTTAACCCCCTACCCCGACACCGCGTTTAATTTCTCATTTTTAGCCTCTAACCGGGAGCTACTGAAAACGTGCTTTGGGATTATCGTGCATCCGTTTTCCCTGAGAACGCTGCTTGCCGTGTGCAGTGAAGACAAGCACCGAGCGCATAAGGCTGACAGCCACCCCCCGCTTCCCCTCCGCCCCATAACGCACCTCCTTCGGTAAAGAGGGCAGCATGTTGTCGGGAAGGGAAATAATATTTTAGCAACCCCCTTCCCCCTCTTCCCTCAGCTTTCTAAAAACTGGGAGGAGAGAAATGCAGCAAAGCAATCATGTTTATGTTCCCACGTGACACTTAGGGACACACAAAGGGTGGGCGGGCATGTTTGGCTGTTGCTTTAACTGGGGTGGGGGTGGGGGTGGGGGAGAATTGTCTTTATCTTTATTTTCATTACCTTTGCGCCCTGTTTTAGCTACACAGGTCCCTGCTGATGTATCTGGAGGCCGTCAGTATTACATAACGCAAACCATGCCGTCCAGCATGCGTGGAGAGCACACAGTCAGACCACACTTTTCACTTCAGGCCTCAGAGCTCTGTGGAGAGGCTCTCGTCAGCCCTTGCCAAGCCACCTGAGGTCTGTGCCGACCGTCACCCCACGCCACACTGCAGCCAGGGGAGGCAGCTGACCGGGTCACAGCCCCAGTGAGAGGCGGAGCTGACCTCCGTCTTGTACAAAACTGCAGTGTGGACTCTGCTCTTGTTAGACAGTCCCTAGTCCTGTGAACTCTGTCCCTTTAAGACGGTCTCTTATTCTATAAAAGGACTTTGTTTTTAGTTCAAATAATAGAAAAAGACAAACTTAACTGTCTGACCTTGTACGCTAGACATCCAATGTAATAGACTAATATAGAATAATACTGATAATTTCCATATCCTTATGCCAAGTAATGATTCATTATGTGTTCGAGGTTACAACTGTCTGTAACAATAACTCCCACAGAGCTCTCTGCAATACCTGCAAACAAAGAGGCTGGAAAAGTATAAACACGGGAGACTTCCTGTGTGTGGTGCTCAGAGGTTTGGAAGAGACAGACACCTCCCGTTGGGCCGAGTGCAATAAATAACTCTTAATCGGCTCATGGAGGTGTCTTGTATATCACTCATTGATTCATGATACAAGCTGTCCTTGCATCGTGTTCTCTGCGAATGGTGAGAGGGGAGGGCCGTGTGGCAGCTCGGGGACCGCGGCTCACGGGTGTGCCATGTGCCCATCTAGCCCGGCACAGGCATCCGCATCCCCGCCAGATGCTCTCCCAGCACCAGGCAATGCCAGGCATGTGGCGTAGGCTCGATACATGTTAATGGGCCGAGTGGATGCATACGTGAATGAATGATCATCCTTAAGATCAAGAACAATGCGTTTGTTTGGTGCTACCCCTCCCGAGGGGGGCCAGAGTGATGGTGCCAACGAGCCGAGGGCCCCCTTTAAACCTGGACGGCAGTTGGGCAAACGCTCCTTCCTCAGCCCCGGGACGTGGGCCGGAGCGGCCCTGGGGGACCACGGGGCGGGCGCACACAGCGCACGGGGGCAGCCACCTGCTCGGAGAAGAAGCGGAAGCCCTTGTCCTGGCGGATGCACTCGTACGTCTCGCCCAGCACCGGGTTGAAGGGCTTGCTGCCGGCGCGGTAGAAGCTGGACGCGTAGGCCGACACGGCGAAGGCGGCCACGTACACCTGCGGGGAGGAGAGGGCCGTTACCGTCCTGCGACCGTGACGTTCGTTTTCACAGCGAGGTGAGCGAGGTAAAGGCTCCCTTCCTCGCTGGGAGGCTTATTTCAGAAAGCCAGACACTTCCCTCTGGCTTAAAAGACAACCAGACCGTCTGTGGTTGAATGTCTTATTTATTTTAATTTTAGTTTCATTTGTTTATTTTTAATTGATTTGTCCCCCCCCCTTTTTTTTTTTTTAGGGAGGGAGGCTTATAGAGAGAGGGAGGGAGACACACACACAGACAGACAGACAGACAGACAGACAGACATAAACGTGAGAGAGAAGCAGCCACTGGTCGCCTTCCTCCTGCACCCCCGCCGTGGATGTGCCTGACAGGGGGCCAAACATGACCTGCGGACCCGGGACATGCTCCCCTGGCCGGGCCCAGCCGTGGTTGAAAGCCGCCGGTTTCAGCGGCGTTGGCTGTGGCCTCAGAGACAAACGCAGCAAACACGTTCACACCGGGGAAGCCTCCCGGAGGCAGAGGCTGCCACACGCCCTATGGACCACGGAGCCGCCCTGGGTGTGAGCTGCTCGGCTGGTCCTGCACCTCCAGACCTGACCACACCCAAGCATCCTGCTGTCCTGCTAGGCTTTTGGGGAGGAGGAGGAAGAAAAGCATCAAAAGCCAAACTCCCCTCCAATTTCAGGAACTGGCACCCTCGATGTGACCAGTCCCTATCGGATGCTGTAGAAATAGCAAAACGCGGTTTTGACAAAAACGCGTCTGTGCGAGTCACTGCCTGAGCCCGAGCAGCAGGTCCTGCCTCTGCGGGACTCTGCTCCAGGGGGAGGACGGACGGGAAACGCACACAGGAGAGGAAGGAAAGCTACGGTGACCAGAGGAAACCAGGTCCCCTTGGCCCTCACCCACGGTGAGGCCTTCCACGTGTCTACCCGTCCCCCTTCCAGGATCCCATTCTGCTTTTTGTCTTTCGGGGAGGGGGGTGGAAGGAATGAGGGCAGCCAAAAAAAAAAAATTAAACCTAAGCAGCAAGAGGAGCTTCTACTTTCCAACACTGAGCAGCAATCTCCACGTTCCTGCTGCCCAGCACCTGTCACGAAGCTGCTTCCCTCATCAGGGTTCCCGGACGCACACCTCCTCTCAGCCACTCACATCTCTCAGCCACTCCCAGGCAGGGCCCCCTTCCCTCAGCCACTCCCAGGCAGGGCCCCCTTCCCTCAGCCACTCCCAGGCAGGGCCCCCTTCCCTCAGCCACTCCCAGGCAGGGCCCCCTTCTCTCAGCTACTCACAGGCAGGGCCACCTTCCCCCCCCTCCCCCCATACCGAGGGCAACCTAGAGCAGCTGGTGGTTTATAAGCACAGATCACTATTTCCACTCAGCCTTTGTTCCTGAAACCTAGGTAAATGTTCCTCTCTCTGCTTCCTCAATGCCCGCTACCTGTCAAACAGCAAGGTCACGGTCTCTATTCTGCACGCTGAGCCAGCCAGCCCCGAGTCGCCTTCCCAATTCAAACTGGACCAAAGTGCACGCATGGACCTGGAACCACTCCTAACGCTGAGGCAGCAGGCCCAGGCAAGCACCCTCCATTTGGCTGGAACAGCAGAGCTGTGTGCAGGGCCCATCTGACCCCACAGAGCAGTGAGCACAACCCAGCTCCCAGCTTTCCTGGGTTTCCCCTCCTGCACTTGGTGCCCAAATGCAAATCCTTTGCTCAAACTTCTCCAGGTCAGTTACAACCATCGGTCAGCTGAACATCCCAAGGGTTTCCTCATTGTGGCAAGAATGAAGCAGCTGGAAGAATACTGTCCTCTTCAGAGCCAAGCTTTTCCATCCAAGAAAAGAGCTGGCTTTTGACACTTGCCTTAGAAGCTATATATTTGCTTCCCTTTGTTCAGCAGCAATTCTCTGGGGGAGAGGAACAAAGACTGAAAAGACACCGGGCCTGTTTGCCTCTCCTACTCTTATCTTTGGCAACAAGAAAGCCTCCTGGATGGGAGCAGTCCCCCGAGGCTGTGGAATGCCTCCCGGATGCCCCTTTCACCTACTAGTTAGAGTTCCCTTTAGTCTCCAAACCACTAACTAGGATGGGAATGAGGAATGCTTAGCATTTAGGGAAGAATTCAGCTCCTGGGGCTGGAAGGTGACTCTATGACCTGAAGCCACAGGAGTCCTAGCCTCCACACAGCCACCTCCCTGCTGAGCCGGTAACAGGCGAGGAAGCCACAGTCACGGAGAGGCCTGAGCCCTCCACAGTCTTACCACCATGGAGTCCCCCCAAATGGGGAGCGAGGAGGAACACTCGGAGCCCCGCCAGTGGACGCTGAGTAGTGGAGAACAAAGGTGGGGGGAGGAAGGAAACACAAAAAGAGCCTTTCTAGGTGAAAATCTCTCACCTAGAAAGGCTCTTTTTTTTTTTTTTTGTTATTTTCTGAAGAAAAAAAAAAAACTAGGAAACAGCCGTGGAAATATTATTCCAAAAATAAACAAAATCATTCTCAAGGGAAATTTACCCTTGATGAGAAAAACAGCTCGAGAGATTAAATTCTGGCCGCCTGGGATAGTAAAAATAAACGCCCAGACAGCCCTCAGGGCAGGCTTTCCAGCCAGGCTTAGCAGAACAATCAGATGGAAAGTTCTGGAGAAAGAGGAAGCCGCAGAGCCACAGAGCAGAACTACCCGCGGGCGCCAGCTGTCACCAGGCAGCCCTCCCCGGCTCCCCACCTCCCCTCCATATGGCCAGTCCCGACAGGGTGGCTGAGCCCAGTGGGCACAGGGGAGCCGGAGGTCCCTGAGAACCGAGCCTGTCACAGGAACGATGCCAGGGGCCCAGGCGGCCTGGCGGCCCGGGCGCGGGGCGAGCCTCACCATCCTCTCCTGGGCGCTGGGCACGTGCGCGGCCTTGTCCAGCAGCTCGCTGTACTCCAGCTCCTCGCAGAGCCTCTGCAGCGTGTTGAGCGGCTCGTTGAGCTCCACGGGCATGGCCACCTTGGACAGGTCCTTGCCGATGTTGTTCCTCAGGATGTTCCACAGGCTCACGCTGCTGCTGCTGGGGCAGGGCGCCGGCAGGCACGTCCTCCTTTTGCACGTGGCTTCCCCGCCGCTCTCCGGAGCCGACCCTGCGAGGAAATATGTCTGGTTGTCTCTACAAGTCTTTTTTTTTTTTTTTTTAATTTCTTTATTGATTAAGGTAACATATATTTGTCCTCATCCCCCCATTCCTATCCCCCACCCCTCCCCACTCATGCCCCCACTCCCCTGTTGTCCTTGACCACTGGTTAGGCTCATGTGTGCACACAAGTCCTTTGGTTGATCTCTCCCTTTTATCCTCACCCTCCCCCACCTTCCCTCTGAGGCCCAATAGTCTGACCCATGGCTCCTTGTCTCTGGGTCTGTTCTTGTTCATCAGTCTATGTTGTTCATCATTTCCTCTGCAAGTCTTTTCACTTTATTCTATTTTTTAAAAATCCCATGAATGAAAACTTGCCTAAAAAGTACTCAATTTTACTATTAATCTCAGTTATTCAGAATAGGACTGAAAGTCATACAATAGAAATGTTGCTCGACTAACTTAAGTAGCAAAAATTACATGCACTAACATTCACGGACCCCATTCGCAGGCAGGTCGCCAAATCCCTAAGCGAAAGCCAGTTCTTCGTAGCTCTCTGCGCACTTGTACCAAAACTGGGATCTGTGTCCAGAGCAGGCTCCTGTTTACACTTTTACTCTTTGACTTCTTTTTAAAGAGCACATCAAATTCTATAAAAGCTTTTAAACTCTTAAAAATCACTTTAAATTCTGACAAAAGCAGCTGTGTTTATTCCAGGATTAAGTATGAAAAAAAAAAATATGATCCCGCTACCCAGATACAGGAGCCATCTATATTTTGGAGTATTTTCACTCAGTGCGTTCTCACCCATACACCTCACGCTGTATTGTATGCCTAGTTTCCTGTCCTGCTTACTCGGTTAGCATGTTATAGCTGCATGCTATTCAGAGTTGTTCCAGCACATCATTTATAAAGACTGTAAAAAGGTCCATTCTATGGCTATGCCTCAATGGACTGAGTCACTCTTCTGTGGGATTTGGGTTTATTTCCATGTGTTGCTATAATGCAAACAAGTCGTGAACATTCATATTCCCAGATATATGACCACCTCTGATACTTTTCATGGGAAACAGAGAACTGGGCTTACTATGCCATAGGCTGCGGCCATTTTTAGGCTTTGGGTTCATATGCGCAGAGGGCTCAGCGAACAGGCGGCATAGGCTGCCGTCTGAGCCGCACTGGTGAGTGCCGCCTCAGGGGGCTCTCTCGGGCTCGTCATCATTCGATGTTAATTTCTGACAAGCTGTCTGCCCTCTCCACCTGTGTTTTAAATGTGCATTTATAAAATTCCTAGTGTGGCTTGGAATGCTTTCAAGAATGCTTTCTTCCTTTCTGAATGATCTGCTTTCCTATTTATATGGTAAGAGATAATCTTTTGTTTTTATAACTTAATCCCCACTTGACCTTTACTTTAAATTTGGTTCAGTGGTTTTTTTATTGTTTTATTTTAAAATATATTTTTATTTATTTTTTTAGAGAGGAAGGGAGAGTGATAGGGAGACACATCGGTGAGAGAAAAATCATTGATCAGCTGCCTCCTGCACACCCTCTACCGGAAATTGAACTGTGACCTCCAGCCAGGTTCATGGGCTGATGTGCAACCACTGTCCACATCAGTGGTTTTCTGATGAATGAAACATTTTCGTGTTAGGTATTTGCTCCTATCAATCTTTCCCTTTGTGACAGCTTCCACTGCTTTGTGCCCTGAAATTCTTCTCCCATCCCAACTGTGTCTGTTTACACAGGAACTCTTTGCCTCACATCAACGTTATGAGCAAGGGGTGAGCTGGATGTTTCTCTCCCTCCCTCTCCCTTCCTCTCTGAAACGAAGACAGAGCCTAATGGGCACCTGACTTCCCGCAGGTGTGATGCTGGAAGGATGCTCTCCCACAGTCTGGTAAAACGCCTGCCTGTCTGTGGTTCCCAAAGAGCAGGCTCACTGGCATTCAGATAACAACGCCATCATCTTTCACGTACACTGACTGAGCTGGGAGCACGGAAATACCAAAAAGGATTTGACTGGTTCCTGTCCTTCACGTAGATAAGAAAACAGGTAGTGCCGAAACCGATTTGGCTCAGTGGACATAGCGTCGGCATGCGGACTGAAGGGTCCCAGGTTCGATTCCGGTCAAGGACATGTACCTTGGTTTCGGGCATATCCCCAGTAGGGGGTGTGCAAGAGGCAGCTGATCGATGTTTTTCTCTCAATGTTTCTAACTCTCTGTCCCTCTCTCTTTCTCTCTGTGAAAAATCAATAAAATATAAAATAAAATAAAAAAACAGGTGGTGCTTTGGGTAGCCAGCCCGGCAAACATAGAGACCTGAGGCACACGAGTACCGGGAGTTTTGGATGCTACAGGTCCCAGGCGGAGAACTGCCCAATGGGCAGAAGACCCAGGCGGAGAACTGTCCACTGGGCAGATTCCTCCCACGGACACCTCGCTTAACCGACCTCCGTCTGCTCACGGAACTGCTAGATCAGAGCTGTTTGGGAAGAACCAAGACATTCGGTGTCCCATGGTTCAGACATTTCCTAGGCATCAATCCCACTCCTGGGATCAACCAGTAATAGATGACCATCTCAGAAAACCTTCAGCCCCCACTTGTAGGAGGCCTCAGTGTGTGACTTACAAAGGTGTTATTGTAAAGAACCTGAGGCTAAATTACCATTCAGACCAGATCTTTTATTTATATAAGCCCCGTAGAATTCCTCAATTATGAAAACCACTAGATACCTAAAGGCAAAGAGTTATATTCTAATATGTTTGCAGAGAGAACATTTGACCAATAAGGGATATCCGTTGCACTAAACTTTGGTATTTATATAACTGGTATACCCTTACTTAGAAAATAGAAATTTACACAAGTAGGCAAAGTTATGTGAATGCGAACGTCTTTCTCTGTGAGTGAGTGAGTCCTGTCCTCCCACCTGGCTGTGAAACCTGGAGAGGGGACCGTATGAATTTTCTTACAGAGTTCTGGTGTCAGTTCTCTGCCTGCAGCAGGCTCTCTGTATGTTTACTAGCATTCCACGAGGATCCGGACTTTCAGAGGTCAGATCACGTCAGTCTTACCCAATGTCTGTCTCTCGTTGTCCAGGTCATTACTGAGATTGTCCACGGACAGGTTATCACTGATGTCACTGGCATAGGAGTCGTCCTCGGAGCCCTGTGGGAGAGAAGAAATGAGGTGCTTAGAGGGAGAGCAAACAGCCAATGTTCCCAGAGCCTTTGCTCACAATCAGCAAACACGTCCCGTCCCACTCGGGAACCAGAGGAGTAACTCCGGACGCTGTTTTTACTGGGGCCGCTCACCGGCCTGCCTAGGGGCCTTTGCGGCAAACAGCTGATATTAAAATCTTCGCACTTAAGTTCTCACAAGGAAAACACAGGTAAACTCAAGATTTTGGTTGTTATTAAAATTCTTATTAACTCAGGCTGCATTTTCAGAATGTGTTAGTGTTTTGGGTAGAATGAGTTACAATTTGTCTCTGAACTATTTGTGAAAAAAATAATCTTCGATAGAAATTAATAAGCAAGAGGGGTACTTCTAAAGGGATAAAATTATCAATACACACACTATACATAGCAAGGCCAATTATGACACTTGCCTCCTCAGGAGAGTATGAATTTTATGCATCAATTTAAAATAATCTTGTTAAAAAAATATATATATATATATATATATTATATATGGTAAAGTACTATAATGACCATATTACAACATTATGATGACATAATAATTGTATGTTGTAAATCAGTACAGGCTGAATTCAATGATTAAAACATATCCATGATGCTAATTTCTGGCCCTGGAGGTAGAAATATTTACATATCAAATCGCTAATAGTCAAAATCATGAACCTGTAATTGAAAAGAGGGATAGCAAAGCAAGTAACAGAAATAGGGATGCCCAACACCTGCTTTCCCAACTTTTAATTCTAAGGCCTTGGAGCCTTTTGTGCAATGAAGGGCAGGAGTTGTAACAAGATCTCAGAATACACGGGCAGAAAGGAGCGCTGAGCTTAGTGTTTCTACGTGAGATGCCCCGAGTGGCACAGCAGCAGAGGGGACTCTGCAGCGGGCACGTAGCTGAGCACCAGGGCGCACCTCGTTCTCCGAGGAGCTGGGCGACAGCAGGACCTCCTGGGCGTCGAAGAACTCCGACAGGGAGTCGGTGATGGAGAGCCGGCTCTCGTTCGAGAGCTGATGGACCAGGGGCCGGTTGTCGTCGGCGGAGTTCTCCTATTGAAAACACAAACCCAAGGGCACAGACACACTTAGAGACAATCTCAAGAGCAGCAGGACACACGGCTGATGTGGGGGCGATACGCAAGGTCGCAGGCCCATGCATACAGGCAGCTCAAGGCAGAGGTCAGCTCCGCAGCGGAGGGGAAAGGAGCCGCCCACGAAACAAAACGAGAAACGCAGGTCTCCTCCGAACGGGCGCCTCACCTGCAGCCACCTCACCGCTCCAGCTCATGAGCAACATCTCAAGGCCAGAGACAGAGAGAGAGACTGCCCAGGCCAGTCTTTGTGGCATTTGAGAGGGAAACGCTCCGGCACTCTGAATCCTATCCCCTTATTCTCCACCGCGGCAGGATGCTGCCCACACCGGGCACGTTCCTCCGAGTTGCCCTGCACGCGTGTCCTTGCGTGGCCAGCAGCCTCGCTTCCTCTGTCCCATGGGCTCCCGGAGGCCGGCGTGCTGCTGGCGAGCTGTCCTTTGACAAATAAACATGTTGGTCCAGAGAGCCCCTGGTGGCAGGTCATTCATCATTCATGGGTAGATGATGAAATACATCCCTTTTGTCTCTCCAACACTATGGCTCCGCGAGGGAAGGCAGTCCCCAAGCCCCTGTAGAGGCTGCTACGCAGATAACCCAGCAGCACACCCACCGCGATGCTCGCATCTGGCCCGGCTCTCCGTCCCTTCCTCCCTGGTTCCCACTCACTGAGGCCAGAAGCCTGGTTTTATCCATCACTGGGCATAACACCCCCACCCCCACCCCCCAAAGGGAGGGCAGTTTGATTTTTAAGGGGGGCAATTAGAGAATGAGTTATTAACAGTGAATTTTTTGCATTTCTTATGGTTCTAGGGGCCTCATATAGAGTGTATATATATATATATATATATATATATATATATATATATATATTGACATATTTATGCATTTCAGTTCTCTATTGTATGTCCTAAAACTTTATTTGCTATTTTTCCATATTTCATTTTTTAAAAAACAAATGCTAAGTGGTTTCTTCCTCAGGACTTTAGCTGTCCTTTTGCTCTTTTATTTTTCTCTTTCATGGATGCCACGTTCTTTGGAAGCTTGTTTAGACCAAGTTCATGGCCTTCTAAGCTTCCTCCGCATGGATAGGAGTTCACTTTTTGAATCATATTTATTATATGTCATGGGGGGGAGACGTCGGGCTTTTGGAGATGCTCAGGAGGGGCGTGGCCAGAAAAGGTTGGGAGCCACGGGTCTATACTTTCCCACCGGGAAGGACCTGGATCCATGCAAGTTGTAAGTGAAAAATTCAATGTGTCTCAACAAACTGAGCCACTGCTGTGTGCTGGCCCTGGAGGGACACAGTGGGGGGCGAGAGCAGGCGGCTGGCCTGCAGGAGGGTGCAGAGCACACGCCCAGCCTCTGAGACCAGGACTGTGGGACACAGGGAGCGCGAGAGGCGGAGAGGAAGGCGAGGCGGTCTGGAAGCGGCTCTGGTAGGGAGGCCTTCACAGAAGAGGGGACAGGGACGGCCCGGAGGACTGAGAACGGACTCAGGACCAGAGGCTGCGGTTCCTCCCGCCCAGAGGAGACGGATGCCCTGACCTTTCCGTAGCCCCCGCCTCACCGGGCTGACACAGCAGCTGCCTCTGTGCCGCTTGTATCCGGGGAGAGAGTCCCGGGGGTTCAGAGGCTGGCAGGTTATGTCTCCCCCAGGGGTTCTGCGAGCTCAGGACACACTGCTCCGTCTCACACCCAAATGGTGCCCAGGTGGGGTGCTCAACGGCGGACTCTCATCGCTGACGCAGGGCAGGCCTCTGGATGAGGTGCTTGCCCCGGGGACGCGTGTAAATGCCACCCCTTTGACTCGGATCCTTTCTAACTAGGACAGCTGGCCCGAGGCATTCGCTCCGAGACCCTCCCCACTTCAATGTCTGCAAAGCCTTCTGAGAGCAGGCTTCTCCACCCCAACACAGGCCACCGTGGGATCTGCAAATAAGCTCCCCCCGCCCCCGGCGTCCCCCCTCCACCCTGCCTCCAGGGACAGGGAGTCAGCGTGCTGAGCGGGAGTGCTCACTGCGCGGCCCTGTCCTCGGGGTGCGCTGCCACGTCAGACCCTAATGACTTATTCAGCTGCTCCCCTCATCAATTATTACCGGCCGCGCGCTCTCCTCCCTCCTCCCGGACCGAAGCGTCAGAGGACACGCCAGCCCAGCCCCTCTGCCGTGCTGGGCCCCAGCTGCGTGCGATCCACATCCACGGGAGCTCACGGCCGCACCCGCACAGCGTCTGCACCGCACGGCGCTCCGTTTATCAGCAGGTTGACCCGGTCAGTTCAATGAGATGATGTCCCCTCAGGTTTGCCTACTTTTTCAGTTACAAACGATGAACAGAGAAAAGAGAGGGAGCCCACAATCCCATCACCCTGAAGCGACCACAGCAACCGATACATTCCTCTAAGACCCTCTCTACCCGGATGGCTTTGCTGTGAAATAATTACAATCTCTACCCATTTAATTTTATAAACTTCCCCCAAACAACACTGCGCTGTAATTATTTTCAAAATGAACATCTGTTCTGAAGATAAAACTAACAGGTTCAAAACAGAAAATACAAAAAGTAAACAAACATCATTTAAAGTCTCATTTCCCACGCCCTGACCAGTTTGGCTCAGTGGATAGAGCGTCGGTCTGCCGATGGAAGGGTCCCGGGTTCGATTCCGGTCAGGGGCATGTACCTTGGTTGCGGGTACATCCCCAGTAGGGGGTGTGCAAGAGGCAGCTGATGGATGTTTCTAACTCTCTATGCCTCTCCCTTCCTCTCTGTAAAAAAATCAACAAAATATATTATAAAAATAAATAAATAAATAAAGTCTCATTCCCCAGATGTGGCTCCTATTAAGCTGGTGATGTGTTTTTTTGTATTAAGATATTTGGGTGTAATTTTTTGTGTGCGTCAAACATTGGAACCCCACTGTCCATTGTCTTCTCTAATCTGCTCAAGTCACATGACATCACATTGTGAGCTCTTCCCCGGGCTGGTACAAGTTCTTTGGCACAATGACCTTTAGCTGATACATGTTTTATTTTAATTGTATGTCACAGGGAACCATTTCCTTTATTAGACATTAAACATGTTTCCAAATTTGTAAAGGTGGTGAACATGCCAGCAAATGTGTCTTTGACTGTATCTCATTACTCCTTAGACTCAGTTCTCAGAACTGGAATTATTAAAAATGTTAAAGGTAAAACATATGTCACCTCACTGCACCAACAAGCAAGAGCTCCTCTGTTTTCTCCACATACTTTGCGCGAATGTCTTGTTTTAATTAGCGTTTCTTAGTTAAGAATTAGGTTGAACATTTTGTCTTTTGAAAAAGAAACTGGATATAGAGATGCTAACACCGTAGGAGGCCCACCCTCTGCATTTCTTCACACTTTCCTGTGAATTTACAAATATTACTAAATGAAGGTTTTTCAAAAAGTATCTGTACTTGGGGTAAACTGTGTCTCCCCTCTCCCCCCATTTAGCTGTTGAGGTCTTATGTTGCTATTATTTATTAATTATTTAAGTATTAAATACATTATCATCTATTTAGCATTTTCTCTGGAAACATTTTTCCTAGTCTATTATATGCATTTTTTTCTTTAAATATATTTTATTGATTTCAGAGAGGAAGAGAGAGAGAGAAACATCAATGATGAGAGAGAATCATTGATTGGCTGCCTTCTGCACACCCCTACTAGGGACCGAGCCAGAAACCCAGGCATGTGCCCTTGGCCGGAATCAAACCTGGGACCCTTCAGTCCACAGGCCAACACTCTATCCATTGAGCCAAGCCAGCTAGGACTCTGCATTCTCTTTTCACACACACCATTTTCCCCCTAAGAAAAAAAGCCAAATCCAGTCAACATTTATTTTGTAACTTTCCCTATAATTTCCACATTTAGGAAGTCCTCCCTACTCTAGGTACTTACTAAATATATCTTTAAAGGTTTTTAAAATCGATTTTTAGAGAGAGAGCAATGGAGGGGAGAGAAACATTGATGTGAGGGCGACACATCAATCGGCTGCTTCCTGCATACTCCTCCCCACCCCCCCACCCCTGCCATGAGGGATCAAGCCCACAACCCTTGTGCCCGAGACTATGCCCAACCAACATCCAGAGCTTGATGAATATTTAAATCAATGTTTTTCAGGTTGAATTTTTCTATTTAACTCTAATTCTCCAGTGATTCATTTTAGTGTGCAATGAGAGATGTAAACTGCTTTCCAGATTGCTTTTGAGCTGTGCCAACCTAACTGATTGAATAATCCATCTCTTTCCCATTGGTTTTTGAGCCTCTTCTATCACAGCTATTTATTTTACATGTAAAACCGTGTTTATGCCTGAGGCAGTCATTCTGCCCATCCTGAACCATCACCGCAGTGCCTCTGGGCCTGGCAGCCGTGCGCTGACTCATTCCAGCCTCTCATCTCCTTTCAAATTCTTACACACACACACACACACACACACACACACACACACACACACATTTTATATTATCTTCTTATTTTTTATTTTAACTGCCCTCAGCCTAATAAATTTGTTAATAAAAAACTCAGCACATCTGAAAAGGTCATGTTACCGCAAAAGATGACAAAAACAGCTGTAACCCTAACCACCCTTTTCTACTTCCCAAGCAATTCCCTTGTATTTTTCCGAAATGTCTGATGGCACACACCTTCGGAGAGTATTTTAGATAAACACCCCAAGCCTTGAGAAAAGACATTTTTTACTGTCGTTGTAAGAGTATTTCTTCCCTCAGAGGGTAAGGCTGTGCTTTTAAAAGGAGGAAGAGAAGCATCGCAGGAGAAGGAGAAGGGAACGGCTGAGGAGGAGGAGTGGGTCTCACAGAGGAAGCCCGGGAACTGGGAGGCTGAGGTTTCCCCAGGAGGAGGAGAGAACTTGTTTCTCGGCAGTACTGCCCCGTGAGACGGGGATGCTTAGGAGAAGAACGGGGAGAGAAGCACAAAGGGAGGGAGAGTCCTGGGGGTCAGGGAGAGCCGTGTTTAAATGCAGTTAACAGCAGACTCAGGAAAGCCTTGGGGTCTGGGGACCTGGCCCCGGTGGGGGGCGGTGGGATGTGGGAGCCGTGGGGATGAGCAGCCCTCTGCGGGGAGGAGGGAGCCTGCAGGGAGGAGGGAGCCAGGCGCCCTGTGGGGTCACAGAGGCTCCCAGACCTTACCAGACGGGGCCTTACCCACCTCTGCCAGGCTGTCAGCAGCAGGGGGCTCGAGGAGCAGGGACTCGGCATGGATTCTGCGCAAGCGTTCTTTAAGGTCTGTGTTTTGTGCTAGCGCCTGGAACACGTCAAAAACAGTGTTTCAGAGAAGCTCAGGGTGGGACCGCGTGGCAGGGCCCAGGGCACCTCCTGGGCTTTCTCCTTGGTTATTATCCAACAGGGTACGGCTCTGAGATGCCTGGGAATAAAAGGTATTAAATTCTGGACACGAGGTCCCTTCTCGCATCTCATCTCCAGAGGTGGAAGGAGAGGTTAGTGAGGCTTTTTAAATTTATTTTTTTGGTGGGAAGGAAATCACGAGCAGCCAGCTCCTGTTCTGACCAGTGGTTTCACGGGCCCTCCCGCTCCCCGGCGGGGTCCACGCTGTCGCTCGGGACCCCAGGAGGGGCTCGGGCCTCAGGTGGACACCCACACCCACGGGGACTCAGGTCCCTTATACAGATGGTGTAGTATTTTCGCAGGACCTATGCACACCCTCTTGCATACTTTAAAATCTCTAGCTTACTTATGGTGCCGCATACAATGGAAGTAGTTGTGATGTTGTATTGTTTAGGGAATAATGACAGGAAGAAAGTCTGTACACGTCCGGTACAGACCCCGCCATCGCAGCCATTACAGGCATCATGGGCCTAACTACAGGGTCCATGGCAGCAACAACGTAACATTTTAAAAAAAAAATATTTTCTGCCCCAGCGGTTTGGCTCAGTGAGTAGAGCTTTGGCCTGCGACTAAAGGGTCCCCTGGGTTCGATTCTCACCAAGGGCACGTGCCCCAGTAAGGGATGTGCAGGAAGCAGCGGTTGGTGATTCTCTCTCATAATGGATGTTTCTACCTCTCTCTCCCTGTCCCTTCCTCTCTGAAATCAATGAAAATATATTAAAAAAAAAAAAAAAAAAAAAAAAAAAAGCCTTGTTCAGCTAAACTCATGGGTGTGGAGCCTGGGGACACGGAGGGCTACTGCAGTCTCTGAGGGCCACGGCCCTCCCTAATGATTCCAAGCTTCTCTTGTCTTCAAAAAAGATGCTGCTCTCACCCTGTATCATTGGCCATATTTTAATGTTACCCAAGGATCACACCAGTTGAATTAAATCTTGGAAAGCAGGATTTCCTGGAGAATTAATTTTACTGTTTCCCAATATAGCAAGCTTTTGATTGTTTGACTCATTCTTCATCATAAGAGACATTTGATTTTTAAAGAAAAGGAAAACAAAACTCACTTACCTGGATGAGGGCTCAGAGTCAGGGCCCTGAAATGAAGGTGTAAGATAGGAGCCGGGGAGGGGGGGGGTACCCCACCGCTGTGATCTCTCCCTGGGCGGCTCTGATTCCCTCCCCCGACCTCTCAACTGGGAAGGAACTGGCTTGCCAGTAAAGGAAGGCGTGTCCTTCACGCCTCTGCCCTGTGAGCTAACTGCTCTCCAAGGTCTGTCCCCCAGACAACCCCAGATCCGTTCCGCCTGTCTGTCTGTCTTCCTGATCTCTTCCAAGAATCTCACAGCTTCCCCCAGGGCCGACCTGCAGAGGATGTGGCGCGGCCTGGATCTCTAGCAAAGATCGTGGCTTTACTGTTATACCCATGAATGGAACGGGTTATTTGGAAATTCCTGAAAATCATTCAGGAAACACTGAGTAAACGTTTCTTAAACACACAAAGCAGAGATGGTTCCATGCAGCAGCACTCCCTACACTGGCTTCATTCTGGCCACTGAGCCGCTGGGATCTTAAAGTAAGCGGCTGGAATCTATACCAGGGGCTGGACTCTGCCACAGGCAGGAGGAAAACACAAGACTGCACACACCACACAGCACATACATTCTGACAGCCACGGGATGGCCTTATAATTTTACTTTGTGGAAAACCACTTTTATCAGGAACCTAAGACAGAAAGGAAAGCATCGCTCTGTTTTAAGTTTCCAAAATCCTGAACAGGGCTGAGAGGGACTTTCTTAGCGAAGGTGAGACGACTGTGGCCTGGGACACCAGGCTCTACCAGAGGAGGCCAGCCTCACGGGACAGGTGCCTCTGAAAGCCGACCTCCTGGGACAATGAGAAATGCTTTTGCTACTAAATAAACGAGCGAGAGAGAGAGAGAGAGAGAGAGAGAGAGAGAGAGAGAGAGAGAAACAGACACATCTCGCTTCTCTGGAACCAAAGCAGCGCCCAGCCTGAGGCTGGCCACTCCAGTCCCATGGGGTGTTGCTCTCTATGACCTTGACGATCCCCGAACTCCTCAGGCTCTGGGCACACAGTCAGTCCACATTGTTTCTTATTTCTTTCAAAGGCGACCTATGTATTTGAGATGTCCAACCGAGTGCACACTCCTTGGGTATTTACAATAACAGTAAGTACTCCTGGTAATGCATTTACCATTACCATTACCATTACCATTACCATTTCGCCAAGACCGTGACTCTTCTCAGCAGCATGGTGACAGGAAGCATGAGTGGCTACTGTCTGGCTCTCTCAGGTGGCTTCTGAGAATAAGACCCTAAAACTCGTCTCCCCTCCCTGACCCTAAATGGGAAGTCCAGCATTTCTCCTGATGGCAATTTCACGGTGCGCGCCCTCTCTTGTTCCCACGGGAATTCCAAAGGACGAGCAAAAGGAGAAGCAAATGAGCACGTCATCTGAAAACTCCCCTCGCTCTCTCCCATCCAAGTACTAACCAGACCCGACCCTGCTTAGCTTCCGAGATCAGAGGAGATCGGGCGCGGTCAGGGTGGTATGGCTGTAGACTCCCTCGCTTTCTGACAGATGCAAGGTGTGCAGCCAGACCGCAGCAGCCGCTGAAGGCAGAGTTCTAGAACACAGCCCTTCCGGGGAGCCTGGCTCTCGTGAGGAACAAACTGGCGTCGAAGTAACAAAGGAGAGAGAGCAAATAACAGAAAGTCTTCCTGATGGACTTCCGGGTACAAAGGCAGACGGTTCCCTACGCGGCCTGTGACTCACCTCCCGCTGCCCAAGGGCAGGGGAAGATAAATGTTTCCTACGATCAAATCAAATCAAGTCAAATCAAATCATTTTCACATCTTTGGAAGAGTGGTAGTAGAATCTGTGCTGTGCAGCAGAGAGACAGGGTGAACTTAGAATTTAGCTCTGCTGCCTGTGGCTTGGGAAGTCAGTGTAAGCATGTGAAGTCTTAGGTACAGAAATGTCCGACTGTCAGATGCTGTAAGCACAAACCAATTCTGTCTCACACACACACACACACCCCACAAAAGCTCTACAGAATCTAAGGAGGAGGAAACCAAACATGAAGTATAGCTTACGCTCAGTGAAACACTCACTACTAAGATTTGGGGTAAGCTTAGTTTGGGTGTTTAGAATAAGCAGATCTGATGAAAGACTCGAATATAATTTGGATAATTTGTTTGGTTTTCTCGTGAATTTTCCACACAGCAGCCAGGATGGAGAATGGAGAATACAGGAAGTTCAGGAGCCTGGCCGCACTGCCGGGCGTTGGGGGACGGGGACATGGCACTTACGGAGGACAGGGCGCGCTTCAGCCCCAGGGCCTGGGCGGAGGGGGACGAGGCGTCCTGCTCCATCAGCTGCTTCAGCTTCTCCCTCTCCGTGGAGATGGTGTTAAAAGCCGACCTTAAAGTGAAGTAAACTATAAAGATATAATTATTATAAAAAGGAAGGAAGGAAGAGGCATAACTACACATGAAATATAGAGAGATGTATCTCTTATAAGAGAACCTAGAAAAGTAACAGCCCTGAATATTTAGAGTGCAGGAAAGTTAACTCTAAATTGACTTTTTTAAAAAAACACATCTGGAATGTACAACACTCAGAGTGAACCCTAAGCTAAACTACAGATTCTGGGTGATAATGATGTTTTAATGTAGGTTTGACGACTGTAACAAAGGGACCACTCTGAAGGGATGCTGATAGTGGGAGACTGTGTGTATGTGTGTGTGTGTGTGTGTGTGTGTGTGTGTGTGTGTTGTATATGAAAACCCTGTAGATTATAAGCACAATTTTGCCATGAACCAAAAATTGCTCTGAAAAATTAAGCCTATTAAATTTTTTAAATCACCTTTGCAATTCCAAAGCCCCTACCCACTATAAAATTCCATAATTTTATGACTTATCATCAAGAAGTTTTGACACTTGAAAGAACTATACTTCTGGATTCTTATTAATACTTAGTTTTGTCTGTATCTCCAAAGACTGGAAATGTTTGGAAACAAAGCTTCTTGGTTTTCAGGGTAACAACAGTAACAATGCAGTAGTGAAAGCAGATAGCACCTTAACATTGGTGATCAAAATTAATCACCGGTGAGAGTCAGATGGGCTTGGTGTTATTTGGGGTGAAATACTACCTTGAAAAGGCATAATGTCATTTTTTGTCGTAATCTGACCGGGGACAATCTGAATCTGATCATGAGGAAATAACAAACAACTCAAAATAAAGAACATTCTATTTTTAAAATTTGGCCTATATGTCAATTTCATCAACGAGAAGAGCTGAGGAACTGACCCTGGCTAAAGGAGGCCAAACAGGCACAGCAATTACACCCAATATATGGTCAAGAATAAGATCTTGAGGAGGACATGCAAATCACAGTAAGTCTAATTAACATTCAGTTCCTATACTGAAGGGGAAAAGTGCTATGAAAGGGCATCACCAGGATGACTGGCAACGTGTGAATGTGGAAGGTGGAACAGGTAACAGTGCTGTTTCGGTGCTGAATTTCCTGGGTTTCATGACTGAACCGTGACTAGGAACATTCCAATCCTTAGGAAGTCCACACTGCCGTATGAAGGCATAAGAAAGACATGACATGACTCCAACTCACACAGTTCAGAAAAATAAGCACCTGTGTAAGTGGATGTGTGTAGAAAGAGATAAAATAAACCTGGCAAAATATTAAAAATGGTGAGTTTGGGTAAAGTACATAGGGGAATTATTTGTATTGTTCTTGCAACTTCTCTGTCAGTTTGAAAGTATTTCAAAATGCATAAGGTGTTACCTCTTCCTTGTTAGTCTTTCCAGCGGCGTTACCAGAACTCCACACCCTAAACTTGACAGTTGGCTACTCTGCTCACTTCAGTGAGCACTCGGGTATAAAGAGAGCTTAGCAGACGCCTGAACTGGCATTTTAAAAACCATTTACACACACGACAAAAATAAATAAATAAATAAATAAATAAATAAATAAATAAATATTCAGCAGGCGTTGATCACAGATTGTACAAATTACCTCCTAAGAACGAGAAAACTGTCATCTAAGTTATTGTTAATGGGTATTATCTTTCCAATATTTTTATTATATTTTGCCTTAGAAAGGCAGGAAGAAGGAAGGGACATAGTTCTGCTCAAGTGTCTTGGCATATTACTGAATTCCACAGGCTGCATTTTTAGAGGTACTGCTATTCAAGAGTGGCCTATTTAGTATCACAGAAATGAAATATGCATTTATTGACTTCCTTCATTTCAAAGCCACAAGGACCATGGAACTTTCCTATAGATTGTCACTGAACTTGTCTGAAGTTGTGGTATTTAATGATAGACTTAGAGCATCTTCACAAAGTCACAGTACAAATAAGCAATCTGTCTAAACACCCCATGCAATATGGTGCTTCTCTCTACATAAGACAGAGGTCAAGGGTCAACAGGTACCGTGTTTCCCCAAAAATAAGACATCCTCCAAAAATAAGACCTAGCGCATGGAAAGATAAGACTTCTCCCGAAAATAAGACCTAGCACAACTTTGGGAAAAAAATTAATATAATACACTGTCTTACTTTTGGGGAAACAGGGTACTACAATTTCTAATAACGTCAGCTCTTTGATTTAAAGGATTCGATTAAGCAAATAACGGGCAGCACAACAGAGTGACCAACAGTATGGTCCCACACCAGCCTGGATTCCTGCGAGCTCCATCCCTTCCTCCCTGTATGACTTTGGACAAGTGCATGGTGGACCTGAACTCCGGTTACCTCATGTATGGATGGGGATGATGATAGCATTTACTTTATAAGATCATTAGTTGACTGAGATAATGCCCTTAACTCAATGTAGAGCTTACAATAAATCATAAATGTTGCCCTAACCCAGTGGTTTGCCACTCTGTTGACTAATGAGTTTGCCAACCACTGCCCTAATCGGTTTGGCTCAGTGGATAGAGCATTGGTCCCAGGTTCGATTCTGGTCAAGGGCATGTACCTTGGTTGTAGGCATATTCCCCAGTAGGGGATGTGCAGGCGGTAACTGATCAATGTTTCTAACTCTCTATCCCTCTCCCTTTCTCTCTGTAAAATAATCAATAAGATATACTTAAATTAAAAAAGAAATCATAAATGTCACTGTAATGTTAATGGAGATAAAGAGGAAAGAAACAGGACAATGCAGGTGGTGGCTAGTTTCCTGAAACGCACAGCAGTTTCAGGAGGATTCTGAGGTCTTTCGCCAGGACAATGCTGACAAAGAACCGCATGCAGGTCCATGAGTGAGGGATCGACCAGAATCCACTGAGCAGCGGAAGAGCAGCCTCAGCAGGAGCCGCAGCCCCACAGCTAAGAACAGCATCTCATGTCTATCACAGGCGCTGCCCGCCTCTGCAGCCCCTCAGGACCCACCGCCCAGCCGAGCCGGCCCCGGGGGGTTCGGGGGAAGGGGGGCACCACTTCACGGTCATTTCTTAAATTGAGGTATAATAGGTAATATGACATTAATTTCAGGTGCACAACAAAATGGTTCGATAGCTGTACACATTGCAAAATGATCACCACAGTAAGTCGTTACCGTTTTTTTTTTCACCGTCTTATTTACTGCTCTAAATTAAATAAATGTGGCTCTCGGCCAGCTGCCACTTAGCTGATCAATTCCTCCACCTTTCAGAGAATGCACTAAAGCTAGGCAGTCGACCAAGAAGATTCCTATTAAATAGGAATCTAAATAGAAGATTCCTATTAAAATGTTCAACTTGGCAGAACACGCACCTTTTGGTTCGAAATGTACAGTGGACAAGACTGCGGCGGGCACTAAATAAGCCAAAAGAAACTCATCTAGTCACTATATTTAATTTTAAGGTCAAAGCCACCTGACAAAGGGACTCAGAAGACCAGAGCCTCATGCACTAAATTTCTTAAATGACCAGTGGTCAGTTGGCCAGTGGTCGGCCAACTCATTAGTCAACAGAGCCAAATACCAACAGTACAATGATTGAAATGTCTTTGGAGAGCCAAATTTTTTTAACTTAAACTTCTTCAAATGCCACTTCTTCAAAATAGACTCGCCCAGGCCGTGGTATTTTGTGGAAGAGCCACACTCAAGGGTCCAAAGAGCCGCATGTAGCTTGTGAGCCGCAGTTTGCCGACCACTGGCTTAGGCCCACTCAGAGGACAAAAATACAGTGTTTTACGGCAGTCTCCTGACCAGCACACAGAGATATCATATTTATATTCATCGTTAAGAATCTCAGAGGTCAGGAGTATTCCCTATGACAGGAGTGTTCTCTCACTAATTTCCAAAATGATGCTAGAGAAAAGGGAAAAGAAAGAGAACTGGTGCAGCACACCTCTGGATATCTGGTATTGACCAAGACCCCATGGGAAGTCTTAGATGCTCAACTACAAAGAACCTCACAGACCGGGAAGGCCACCGCCACATCGAAGGTCCATGCTTCTCAGAGCATGTGCTGTCCCCTAGAGCAGTCCACTGTTCTGGGGTAAGGAAGTCCTTTGTGCTCCTACATTGATGTTTACCCCAGAGTCTCCTCATTGGCCTCTTTGCTGGGCTTTCAAATATCAGAAGGCAATCATGGCCTCTCTGTTCACTCATCTGTGTCCCAGACTGTCTTCAGCCATTTCTCAGACCCCCTCACTGTACTGAGAGAGTGGACACAAGCTGGCCTCTTACAAAACGGAATGCCATAGCATCATACGAGTGACTCTTAGTGATCTCTACCTTTCCTGTTTCTGCCGGCTTCCATGCCGTCCCGCCCCCCTCCCCCCCCAAAAAAAATATTTTTTTCCCCCCCACTGTCTTATTTACTGCTCTAAATTAAATAAATGTGGCTCTCGGCCGGCTGTCACTTAGCTGATCAATTCCTCCGGCTTTCAGAGAATGCATTAAAGCTAGGCAGTTGACCAAGCTAGAATATATATATGTTTATATATATATATTTTTTTTATTGATTTCAGAGAGGAAGGGGAGGGATAGATAGAAACATCAATGATGAGAGAATCATTGATTAGCTCCCTCCTGCACACCCCACACTGGAGATTGAGCCCGCAACCCGGGCCTGTGCCTTGACCTCCTGGTTCATAGGTCGACACTCAAACACTGAGAGCCACACCAGCTAGGTCCATGCTGTCCTTTATTGACTAAAGTAGTGAGAGTGCAGACAGCAAGTTTGGATAGCCAAGGCTGGTACAGAAGGACACCCAAACTCTTAATTTACCTGAGCTCTATTTTTTAATATGCCCCTCCTCTAGAAGTTTCTCAGAAAAGAATAAGATCTTGAGGAGGAGATGCAAATCACAGACATCACCTCCCTGGCGGCAGTATGGTATGAGGTTAAGAGGTTTGTAATAAGGCAAACGTGAGCCAAAATCCTGCTCCACCACTTAGTTACTGCCTGGATGCCGGACAACCCTCAGGCTCCACGTCCGCAGGTATGGAAAGTGCCCACACCTCCAGAGAGCTTTAAGGAAACAGTGAGGAAGCATCCAACCCACAGGAAGACACATTATTTATCTTTCCCTGTTTAATAAAAACCACATTCTGGTGCATTTTCTTTAAAACGTTAATACTGCTATACCTAAAATATCTGGGGTGGTTTCATCTTTTGGCATCTGCATCCCCTAATTTCCAAACCTCACAGGATGGCCATGGTTTTAAAATGCTTTCTAACCCATATTTTATCTAAAAGATTCCTTAAATGTAGACACACTGAGTCATTTCATTAAATGGTCCTACTTATTTACTCATTATTTGCATAAATACAATTGCCCAGCAGATTTTTATGCCAAATTCTGTATTATGTTTGACAAATAGTCTGGTTTTGCTCTAAGCCATATATATATATTTTTAAGTGTTAATTGATGAAAATGACATCCTTGTGACATACTTGGCTTTTATGCAATGCTTCCATAAGCTCAAAACCATTAAAAAACGACCACTCAGCCACGGGGCAACACTGGCTAGCCCCTGTGTTGAGTGTCAGTGGAGTGGCCACAGGAAGGGAACACAGCTCACTGGGCTCCCTGTGGGATTCACTGTCTCTAACCCCGCAGGCCCAGCTGCTGTGGAATAAGTGCGCCTGCACCTTCCTCGAGCAAGGGCCTTGACCTCGCCTGGGTATGCGGCCGCCCCTGCCAGCTGGCTTTCAGAGCCCCAAAGAGGGAGCAGCTGGCCGCAGCCATTAGAGGCGGCCCCGAGGCCAAGTCCTCTGAGGGAGGCCAGGATCAATGGCCCCCGTGCCTGCTGAGGAGCAGGCGCCTCGTGGAGGTAAAATGCAGGCATGTCCCTCTGCCGGGAGGCAGCCCTTTCCCATTTTTAAAAAGACAGTTCATACTATTAAAAAGTAAAGGTGCTTTACAGACATTCCTCCCACAAACCCCAACAGGAATGCCTAATTGTACCTGATGCTTTCACAGCAGAGGACACGTGTGGGGAGAGGCGGGGAGGAGAGCGTTAAAGGGCCAGGGCAGGTAATTCTGCCCATTTCACAGATGGACCAGACAGGAGCACTGCAAAACACTGACAAAGTCCCAGCAAAGCGTTCCCCATACCCAACATGTTTTAGGCTTTTAGACTAAGGAAGAAAAAAAAAAGAGCTAAAGTAATTAATAACAGGAAAGAAGAGAAATACTGGTCTAGGAGAGCAAGGCAACAGAGAGAATGTCTGCCTGGCTGGTGTTGCTGAGTGGCTGAGCATCGACCCAGGAACCAAGAGGTCACGGTTTGATTCTGGTCAGGACACATGCCCGTTGCAGGCTTAATCCCAGGCGGGGGCGTGCAGGAAGCAGCTGATGAATGAGTCTCTTGCATCATTGATGCTTCTCTCTCTCCCTCTCCTTTCCTCTCTCTCTAAAATCAATAAAAAATATTTTTAAAAACATAGAGGGAATGTCTTATTTCCTACTGCAAGCACAGCCATCCCATTTAAAATATTTAACCTATTTTCTTCTTTTAAAAATGATTAATATAGGAAATTAAAAAAAAAAAAAAAACACAAAGGAGATAATAAGTGTTACATCTCAACATCCATCATGAAAATGCTGGTGTATATCCATTCAGACTTTTGAGTAAGCCTGTGCACACCAAGTTTATTTTTTTTGAAAAATGGGATCGTACCTATGGATTGTTTTGTGACCCTGTATTTTTACTCACTGATATGCTATGAACTTCTCCCTTCCCGTTTCTGTAAAAATGGCCCTGGCTACCTCATAGAGGGCAGTGAGCCACCAGGTGAGGAGTGGAGACTCTGGGGTCAGGCCGATGAGCATTCAACTCTCAAGTTGGCTATTCCCTACCACGTGACCTGCAGGAAGTTCTGAGGCTTCTCTACACCGCAGGTCTCTTACCTGTGTGATGGAGGTCACACTAACACCTACTCCCCAGGTTGTTGCTAGAATTAAATGAAATACAGTGCGAGACAAGTGCTTTACAACTACCTGACAGACAGCTCTGAGCTCAAAATAAGCTATTATTATTACTATTACTATTATTATTATCATTTTATTGTTATGTGGCTATTGACTATTCTATAATACCATATGATTATATTACATTAAAAAATACAGTCCCGCCGAAACCTGTTTGGCTCAATGGATAGAGCGTCGGCTTGGGGACTGAAGGGTCCCGGGTTCGATTCCGGTCAAGGGCATGTACCTTGGTTGCGGGCATATCCCCAGTAGGGGGTGTGCAAGAGGCAGCTGATTGATGACTCTCTCATTGATGTTTCTAACTCTCTATCTCTCTCCCTTCCTCTCTGTACAAAATCAATAAAATATATTTTAAAAATGTATTTTAAAAAATACCGTCCCTCTGTTTGGGGCATTTAGGTGACCTCTAATTTATTTTTACGTTTCAATTTTGAAGTCATTATAGACTCACAGGAAGTGGCAAAAATAGTACAGAGAAGTCCTGGGTACCCTACATCCAATTTCCCACAGTATAATATCGTACATAATTACGGTACAATTATCAAAACCGGGAAACTGGCATTGGGATTGACTGCTCTTATTCAGATTTCACCAGTTTTACATGCTCTTATTTATGTTTGTGTGTGTAAATATAAGTCGATGTAATTTTGTCTTTTGTGTAGGTTTGTGGAGCCACCATCAGAATCAGGATATAGAATTATTCATCTCCGCCAAGATCCCTCTTTCTACCTCTTTATACTTTCCTCCATTCTCTCCTCCTCATCTGTAACCTTGGGCGACCCTTAATCTCTTCTCCATCTCTATAATTTTATCACTTCAAAAGTGTTAGTAAGTGGAATCATATTTTCAGTCAGCATAATGCCCCTGAGATTCCTTCAACTCGTGTATAACCACAGTCTACTCCCTTTCATTGCTGAGCAGTATTCCGCTGTATGGACACACCATGGTCTGTCTAACCATTCATCTGTTGAAGAGCATTTGGGTCATTCCAGTCTTTGGCTAATACAAATGAACTTGCTTTGAACACGTGTGTAAAGGCATCTGTGTGGAGTTACGTGTACATTTTCTCTGGGATCAATGCCAGGAATGTGAATGCTGGGTTGCATGGCGAGCTTATTTTTATATAAAACTGCCAAACTTCTGTCCAGGGTAGCTGTATCATGTTGCATTGCCACCTGCATTTGGTACTATCAGTATTTTTTTAATGTTAGCTCTTCTTATAGGGGCATGTGATATCATGGTTTTAATTTGCATTTCCCACTGGCTAATGATGTTGAACATTTATTCCTAATTTTTGACGTGATAAACAGTGCTAAAATGAATATCTTTATTTGAATAAATTTTAAGTGAATTCCTACAAATGAATTCTTTAAAGTGGGGTTGGTGAATAGGCAGATTTTTTTTTTTTAAGTACCAATTTACATCCCTATCAGCATCATATAAATTACTCAGCTTTTAAATCATACCTAATGCTCTCACTATCTCCCCTAATGAGTTTAGAAGACACTTCTTAGGGAAATTTAAAAAAAAAAAAAATGGGTTGCCTAAAAGATCAGGAAATTAACTAACCGAGGTCCTTCTCCAAGGACACCCCACATTCAGACACACACTTAATATTTTCATTAAACACATACCTTTATGGGCAATATGACACAGATCTTCTTGCATTTTAGAAAACTCAGATGAAGTTTCAGAGCCATCAGAATTATTTTTCTCTTCTCCAAAATCTAGTGTTGACAAATTGGGATTGGAAGAATGCAGTCTTTGTGGGCCATCAAAAGGCTTAGGCACCTAAAGTAATACCAAAAGGAGATATTTCTGTTCAGATGCACATTGCTCAGAATGTTTACTTGTTTCTAAGGTTGGAAAGTAGTAAGAAAAGGTCAATGTGTAGGAAAGTCTTACTATTGAGTGATTACTTATAAGAAAAATAAATAAAAACTCAGGAAAGTACTTTCTACCTCAAGTTGTACTGGCTTCTTGCAAAAACAAATATGGGTGAAAGCCCTAAATGGCTTAGCTCAGTGGTGGAGCATGGGCGTGCAGACTGAAGGGTCCCAGTTCAATTCCGGTCAGAGCACATGACTGGGTTGGGGGCTCGATCCCCAGTAGCGGGCATATAGGAGGCAGCCAATCAACGATTCTCTCTCATCATTGATGTTTCTATCTCCTTCTCCCTCTCCCTTCCTCTCTGAAATCAATAAAAGTATATATATATATATTTTTTTAAATGGGTAAGAAAGCACATATAATATAGTATGCCCTTTATCTGTGGGGATATATTAAAAGACCCCATGGACACCTGAAACTGTGGATAATACTGAGCCATTTAAGCATGAAACTTAAACCTTATGAATTATTGACTTTGGGAATTTACCTTTTAATGTTTTTGGACTGCGGCTGACTGTGGAAAACCAAAACCACAGAAAGCAAAACCGCATTTACGGGGAGACTGATACATTCTTTGGAAATGATTGAAGAACTAAAGCTATGGGATGACAACGACGGCTAAAGCTGCTGGGCTCTCTCTCATTTATATTCGGTTCCCTCCTCCCAGCAATAATCCTCCAGTGTGCCTAGGCTGCTCATAGAGGATAGGTTTAGAAATGTTTTCTTTATTTGCTCCTGATGCTTCTAGAAAATGAACTAGCTTCTCCCATATTTGTACACAGATCACTCTTTACTTTGAAAGCACTTAAGTTCAACCCATAAAGTGCTTTGAACCAAAGAATGTATAAGAATGCAGCAGATGACTTAACTATAACTTTCTGATTTATGGGGACCCTAATATGGTTGCGATTTAACATGCAGTGGCCAAGCTGCAAATCCTGGGCTCCGGCTCAGCTGTGCGTTGGGAAAGTCAGCAGCTGGTGTGACGCAGGAAACGAGCATCTGCACAACGTCCTGTTCCCAGAAACTCCAGCCAGTGGCTCAGAGGGTGAGGGCCCCACTGAGCAGCAGCGGAAGAGGGGGGCAGAGCACCTGCCCAAGCAGGGAAGCGAGCAGGCAGGCTAAGCGTTACAGAATGAGAAGCCAAAGCCCTGGAAATGGCTGTGGTCCCGCCAGCATCATGCCATTTCCCCTTACCCAGTATTACATGCCTGTTCTAGGGTCCAGAAAGTCTCAGTGACTGACTTCATCTCTCTGCACAGGGTATTGGATAGAACAGTTAGAATCTTCACCTGTCTGTTCTAGTCTCTTACTTGAGTTCAAGTAGCCCCCAGCACGTGACGTGCAGAGAAGGGCCAGTGGGGGGCCGCGGTTACCTGTAGTGTTCCTTTAGCATCTTTGCCAATAGCTCGGGACCGCCACCTCCTGTGCGATCTTTTCTCCTTTTTGGGACTTTCAAAAGCTCCACCCTTTGTTTCAAAATGGGAAAGAGAGCACAGACAGTAAGATCCACCAAACCCATAGGGGAAAACGCACAGCAGAGTAACAGTCTCCATCCCCTTGAACTTGGCCCAAGCATCGGACCAGAAATCATCCCACTGTTAGTGAAAGGCGGGGAGGAGAGGGGAGAGCAGGGGAGCATCGGGATGCAAACGGAAGAGGGACCTGGCCCACCTGGATGGCGTTGATAGCGGGCGCGGAATACGTCCGATGCAGGACGTCCATGCTCTGGAGGAGCTGGCTCATTTCCAGCAGGTAGGAGTGGCAGTGGGCCAGGTCTGCGGAGGAAAGCAAAAAGCCGGCTCAGGGGCACTTATCTGGGCATTTGGGCACCGCTGTGCTGGCACAGCTACTTTTCTTGTGTATCAATATCTGACGTGCAGCTGTTAGGACAGGCACTGGGACTTTCTTTGTTACAGGAGAGGCAGCAGACTGTCGTGCTTAGAGGCGGGGATCTGGAGAACCAGGCTGCCTCCGTGTGAATGCACTGAATGAACTGTGAATCTTGGGCAAATTATGTAACTGCTGCGTGCCTCAGTTTTCTCATCTGGAAGGAGGGGATGATTATATATCTAGCTCACAGTTGTGAGTTAGATGAGCTAATATATGCAGTGTGCTTTTAGAGTGCTGGCATCATCATCATCACTTCTAATACTGCAGTAACAGGTGTTACTGTCCCCTTGTAAGGACCCGGGACAAGGTAAATGGTGCACTTCCGCATACTGACCTACGAGGATCTAAGTTGTTCTCGGACCAGCTCCTGGGTCACTAACTCAAAAGCAGTCCTCAATTTGCTGTTTACTGGGTGAACCAGCTGTGTCTGCCGAGGAATCAACGCCCCCATGCATGAAGGCAGCGGCTCTAAAACCCTGGTGCCAGCAGAATCACCCGGAGAACCTGCACAACCACAGATGGCCGGGTCCACCTCGGGTTCTGACTCAGACTATGTGGGCTGGGCCTGAGACTCTGCGTGTCCAAGTTCACAGGCCAGGCCGGTGCTGCTGGTCCATCCCCTCGGACGATGCTTCAAGGACCACTGTCCCAAAATGTTACTCGGTGATGCTTGTGAGTGATCTTTACCGAGAGGGCAGCACCTATTGGCCCTGGACGGTAATGACCTTCACCAGCAGCGAATGCCGTCTTCAAGGCTCCCACCCGGTGTCTTTCTCCAACACTGGTTCTCAGTCGTGCCTACACCTTTTTTAAATGCCCAAGTCCCACCCCCAAACAATTAAAGCAGAACACCCCCAATCCCATGGGTGACTTTTTGTTACTCAGTTCCCTGGGTGATTCTTAGCTAATTATGTGGAGAACACTGAGCAGCCTAGGGCAAGCATCGTCAATCCTGGCTCCTTATTAGGATCACTTAGGGGACTTCAAAAAAAAATCAGTGATGCGCCGAAACCTGTTTGGCTCAGTGGATAGAGTGTCGATCTGCGGACTGAAGGGTCCCGGGTTCGATTCCGGTCAAGGGCATGTACATTGGACGTGCCTGCGAACCAATGGGGAGTGTGCAGGAGGATGTTTCTCTCTCATCGATGTTTCTAGCTCTCTATCCCTCTCCCTCTCTGTGAAAAATCAATAAAATATATATATATTTTTAAAAATCAGTGATGCCAGGGCCTACACCAAACCAACTGAAAGAGATTCTTTGGGAGGGGAGAGAGGAGGGGCCCGGGCACGGGTATTCTTGCACTTGGAAAGTCTCTTGAAGATTCTAACGTGCAGCCAGGGCAGAGAACACCTGTTCTGTGTGGGTCTCCGCTCGCCTCCAGAACCGTGACTCTCGATCTCAGACGTGTGTCCGAATCCTTTTTGGCAGATAAACAGACAGACAGCTGTGCAGACCCGCCCTGGCGGCTGTGGCTGAATACGCCCGCGTGGAAATCGGGCACCAGCACGTGGAGGATGGAAAAGGCGGTGACTAACACTGTGCAGGGAGTGATCTCTGCTAACCAGGAGCGCTCACTCAGCAGCAGGGGAGAGGGCGTGGCAGTGATGGGGATGCAGGTGCGGCCGCGGGGTCCAGGCCGAACCGGCCGCTGGGAGAGGGGGGCGGGAGAGGCCGAGGGGCCCAGTCCCCTACCTTTGGAGCACTGCTCCATGTCCTCCGAGTGCTGCAGCCACAAGGGGACGCGAATCTCTCCGCAGAAGGACAGATTGCTTCCGGTTTGAAAGGAGTTCTGCTTTGATATGCTGCTCCGCTGTCCCAGGGATGACAAAAGCAGAGTCAGGGAGGACGGAGCCCGCGGGGGCACGCTGTCCCTCGGGGAGCCAGCTGCCTGGCCGGGAAGGCAGCTTCCAGCCAAGCCTCCAGGGAAGAGCTTCCTGGCTGTCACCGGGCCGGCCGGAGCCGTGGCCTGCAGCCCTCCTCCCGGCCAACGATAACCGTATCAGCACCGATAGACGTGGGGGACTTTGCCATCCCACGCGGCCGTAAACGCGCCTCCTGCCTTTCACGGCCAGATAAGAGGACCAAAGGCAGGCTGGTGAGAGGGAGGGGGCACTGGGGTGTAAAGTCCCTCCGGGTGCTGGCCCGGAGGGCACACACACGCTCCTGGGCCCGGTGACTCACAGGACAACGGGCTCATCTACCACCAGCTCAGGCCTCCCTGCTCCTCCCTCCGCCGTCCCTTCCCCAGGTCCAGCCCCCCCCTCCCCAGGGCCACCCTGGACCACCCCTTCCTCAGGCCCATCACCGGCAGGTACTACCTTCCGACCGGAGAGGGGATCCAGGGCCCCGGGCCCGGAGTCGGGGACGGTTTGCCCCGGGAAGAAGTGGTTCGCTTCGTGTGGGAACATGGCGATCTCGTTCTGCCGGTACATGCGGTGGTGGCGGAGCTTGGACACCCACTCGTCAAACACGTCGTCTGACTTGACCTGCGTGGGGTCGGGTGGGGGAGGGAAACAAGGGCGTCACTTAAGAGCATCTGCTGGTGCCCGCCGAAATGGCAGCTTATTATTTTTTATTTTTTAAAATATATATTTTATTGATTTTTTCAGAGAGAGGAAGAAAGAGGGATAGAAAGCTAGAAACGTCGATGAGAGAGAAACATCGATCAACTGCCTCCTGCACACCCCTTACTGGGGATGTGCCCACAACCAAGGTACATGCCCTTGACCGGAATCGAGCCTGGAACTTTCTGTCCACAGGTCGACGCTCTACCCACTGAGCCAAACCAGTCTTGGCAGAAAATGCCAGCTTATTGACTTAGTTTACACTGTGTGACCTTTGGGACACGTGGAGGAGGAAGGAGAGTAAAAATGGTTTTGTAAACGATACATTTAGGTCTTCTACGGGAGGGTCCAATTGCTACTCTGATAGTAGGCGAGCAAAACAGTATTGGTTATAGTAAACAACAAATAAAACTGAAGTTTCTATTTCTCTGCCTCACAGCATTTCCAAGTCCTGGGCCCCAGTTTATCCTATCCCTGCTTTGTTTTTAAACTCTTCCATAATTTGGACTTTTCAAATCAATCTTCTCTGACCTGGAACGGCTTGGTAAATTCTTCCTAAAATAGTTAACCTTGTAAACCTCCGTCAGAGGCTGCATTGCTGAGGAGTATGTTCATGAATGTGAAGGTTATTTAAAAAAAGGGCATTTCTCCTGCTCTCAGAAATAGAAGAAATATGATAAAGTATTATTGGTGATCCCCAGGGTTTTTCAAACACTCACACACCAACATTTAGCTATTCTTGCCCTGGCCAGTGTGGCTCAGTTGGTTGGGCATCGTCCTGGTTCATTTTCGCATCAGGACACAACATGGACTGGCTGCCTCCTGCACACCCCTTCTTGGGTTGTGGGCTTGATCCCCAGCAGGGAGTGTGCAGGAGGCAGCCAATCAATATTGCACGCACACAGATGTTTCTCTCTCTCTCCCTTTCCCTCTCCCTTCCTTTCTCTCTAAAAATCAATATTCTTTTTAAAAAAATACATTTTTAGTGATTTTAGAGAGAGGAAGAGAGAAGAATAGAGATAGAAACATCGATGAGAGAGAAATATTGATTTGCTGCCTCCTGCACATCCCTCCCACCCCTCGTACCCCCCCCCACCCTCCTGCATTGGGAATTGAGCCCAAAACCCGGGCTTGTATCCTGAGGGGAATTGAACCATGACCTCCTGGTTCATAAGTCAACATTCACCAGCTGGGTAAAAATCAATATACTTTTGTTTTTTCAATTAACTATTCTCTCCAAAAATATCTATTAATATCTAATTCCCATGAAAAATACTGTTTGTAAATAGTAATTTTTATTATAAAACATCTCAAATGTTCATACAAGTACTACAAAAATATTACAAACACCTACACAGCACAGACATTTCTTAATAGTCAATATTTCTGTGGGTGTGTGAGAGTATATTAAATATTTCCAAAATGAAAAAATGATAGATTCTTGTATATTAGAACACAGACTCATAAAGTAACCATTTATAATACCCCCAAAGGATGTGGTAGGTTCACTTCTAAGAAGAAAAATTAGGTCAACGCTGTTAAAATCTCTACCAAAGCCACTGCCAAGAGTGAGGATGTGGAAATAAATGTCAGCCGGGAAATGGTAGGCTGGCTCTTATGTCTGCTGTGTTATTAGAAGTATGTGCAAGGCTGAAAACCTCTCCAGGAGTTCTAGAATGTGTCATGCACAGAAAGAAGCAATACAAACAGGCTCATCTCCCCACCTCCCCTGGATTATGTCCTTGAAATAGATTTCATTTCCCAGGTGTGGTTAACAGGAATCTATGTCATTCCCTGCACTGATCTGCTCTCAGAGGCCCTTGAAAAATCAGTGCCCAAAGTGCTCATCTTGACTCATTTTGTACTGGTTAAACTGAAGAATAAAAAGCACTTTGCTAAATAATGGACCAGGGTTCCGTTTTAGCCCTTCGAATAGTTCTAGGACTGTGGGTGGACAGCCAAGTAACTCTGCTGCCGGATGCCTCATCCATAAAATAAGAGAACGGCACTGGATGACCCACATTTAAAAACGGCCTGCCACTGAGGCTACTAAGTAGAACCTTCTGATAACTACACGACCACACTGACAGTCAAAGCTCCCGCTCAAGAGAAGGAGGAGGAAGCACAAACAGAACTTCAACTGATTCAACTCAGAGAAGCATTAAACCGTGTTGTCACGATATTAGCATTTAATGTGTCTTAAGGCATTCTAGTTCCTTAAAAATTAAGAATTAAAAATCACCTTTATTTGGTAAACTAGAATAGTGGGTGAACAAGAACCTATAATTTCATGGCCGCATCAAAACACAGAACCAAGAGTCATTGAGGTACAAGGAGAAGTAACCTAAATTATTGTAAAGAAGATTGACCATTTAAGTGGGGGTGGGGAAAATATTCTTTCTTAAAATGTTTTTTTTTGTTGCTTTTTTTTAAGATTATAGGTCTCTGTTTCCTTTACTCGACACCAGTTGGTCTCAGCCAGGGGTGGTTGAGCCATTTGGCGATGTCCGGAGACATTTTTTGGTTGTCGTAACTGCAGGGGGGTGTTACAAACATCTAGGGGCCAGCGATGCCACTCGACATCCTATAAGGCACAGGACAGGCCCCACAGCAAAGAAGGCTCCAGCCCGCCATGTCACTAGCGGTGAGGGTAAGAAACCCTGCTTTACACAATTCACCATCCCCACAGGGGGAGGGCCCCAGGCTAGGAAACAGAACGCCCTTGACTATCTTGTGTGGTCAATGGATCACATGTATATGTTACATGTCTGTTTGCCCAAGCACCACACACATACATGCTGTGGGAGGAGAGAGAGCCCACAATCTCATGCTTTCACACTCCCAACCCTCAGCGCCCACTGCCAAGTCCAATTAATGTGATCAAGTAAGAAAAAGTGTCCTAACATTTTCTCCATTAATTTCTAATATTTGGGAACCACATAATAATTATGTGTAATAACTGAACTTATTGAGATTACTATGGGCCAGGCATTAGGCCAAGTTTTCTACATGAGGCCCTGCCAGACGAGCTCTGTAATAATGCCCATTTTGGGGTCTGAGAGGATCGAGGCCCTCAGACATCAAATAATTTGCCAAAGGCCAAGAGCTGGTAAATAGCCAGGTCGAGCATGGAACCAGATCTGAACCGCCAAAGCTCTTGTCTCACGTTTTCAGCCGTCTCCGGTGCCCACAGGAGAGAGGGCGGCAGGGGGGTGAAGCCCCTTCCAGAAGTTCTGTTTGGACCAAGGCCCGCACTTCAGGGGGTAACTGCCTGACATGCAATGCAATAGGAGAGATGTGATGGCCAAAGTGGTAAGTCAGGCTAAATATTAAATATTATAGTTCAAGGAACATATTCTAACCCATAGTAAATGGCCCTTCACTAAACACGATACTGTATTCGGAAGATGTTTTTATCACTCATCACTGCCATAATTACGAAGGGGTGCAGGGGGGTGCGGGGACAAGGATGCGAACCCTCCCTCCGTCAGAAATGCTTTATGGGAGGAGCTGCACGTTGGCTGGGCCCTGAGAGGCCCTCACATGGCACCGGCCACAGCGCCGCCCCGAGCACCGGCAGCTCTGCACAGAGACGGCGCGGGAGGGCTCACCTTCAGGTGGTAGATGTGCTCCTCGGTGTCCAGGTCTATGCACTTGGTCGACTTCTTCACGGACATCACCGAGAGCCCCACGTCGATGCAGCCATGCAGCTTCTCCCTCTCGATCTGCGGGGGCAGGAGGCGGCCCTGAGAACCGGCCGCCGCGGGGCTGGTAGCAGCCCGGACCCCCCTCCGCCTGCCACAGCCCCTGACGGCGCCCTGAGGACTAGGGCTTATCCAGCGCCCAGTGTGGGCCAGTGCCGAGTTCCCAGTGCTGCCCCTGCGCGGTGTAATCCTGTGTAATCTGTGAGGGGCTGTGGGACACACGGTTTCCCCAGCCAGCAGGCGAGGAGGCGAGGAGGCGAGGAGGTGAGCCCCGTGGGCCGACCCCACCGCGGCGGATTCCCCTGCAACTGCCCTTCCTCCCACAATTCTTGCTCCCGTTACACTCTCGGGGAAGTGATTTAAAAAGAGGGGTAGGGAGCCGAAGCCGAGTCAGGCTACTGGGGCCCCCACATTACACAAATGTTGTATATGCAACCGTCCAGAGGAGCATCGGAAGAGGCCAGGAGAGGAAGGGGGTGGGAGGAGTGCTGGGTGAGAGAGGGGGCCCCTATGAGGGGCAGAACCAAGGGACCGTCATGTCACCTTCACTAAGGGTTCTCCACCGACCCCCCCAGTCACCGCTACACTCGCCCTGTGTCTTGCTCCTGTCATCTCGCCGAAAAACTGTGTTCTCCACCCAGCGTACCCCTCAGCATGACCTGGGGCCAGTGCAGACCCCCGGGTACACAGTGGGGTGCTGAGAGGAGCCCCCTGGCCACTCAGCGGGGGAACTGAGCCTGCCCAGAAGCCAGGGCTGGGGAGCAGCCCCCCGGTTCCATATTGCCCCCGTGGTTCCAGCTCAGAGAGATGGAATCCCGTCCCCCGCCATGGACACAGTCTTGTCCAGGAGTTGACAGCAACTAGCCCTTCCGAGTTCTTCACCAGCACACTGATGAACCAGGAGACTTACGTCCGTCTGGCTCTTGGCATACTTCAAGATTCCTTTGTCCAGATAGAAGAATCTCTGTGGGGAAGAAAGGGTAATTCACGAACACATTCCACTGAAATGCCCGGTCTTCCCTGGGTCCCCATTTTCAACGTCAGAGTAAAGTGCAGGTGAGGCCCAGGCCGGTGTCTTACCTTGTGCCAGCCTTTCAGGGGCCACTTCCGCTTTTTCAGCAAAAACCCTTTCTGCACTGGTGGCTCCTGGGTGTAGTTCACCTCGCCCCTCAGTCCTTCCACCACCTCCCAGCTGTCCTGTTCCAACGAGAGAGGTCGTGTTAGATCGCTGTCTTTCAAAACAGTAAGAGGCACCTGGTGCTATCAGAAAACCCATCCAAGATGGTGAGCCGGGCTGGGTTGGTTGGGGAGGAGAAACTCAAATTTAATTTTTATACCATTCCTGGATTTTACAGGGTTAATGCTAGAATTTAATGGCATCAAGTTTATTTAGTGTTTTATTTCCCAACAAAGCTCTCTTAGCAGGGAATGTTTCTCTCCCTTTTTGGTGTTGAACCTTGGCAACCACAGCTAGGGGTAGACTTCGCTGTTCTATTTTTGTTCCCTTTGACATTATCACGCAGTTACTGTTTACTCACCAGCAGACCTCAGTCTGAATTTTAACCAAAAGCTAGACATGAGGATGGAAGGGGTGGGTGGGCTGAGGTGGGAATGTGGGAAGCCTGGCTTAAAAATTGGCTGAAAAGTTTCAGACCAGATGCAAGTTGGTAAACATGACAATGTGGTCAAAATACTGATTTAGTTGCAGGTTAATATCTTCAGATTCTAGGTATTTTAGTGAAAATCCTAAAGCATGAAAAAAGTGCTTTTACAAAAGCATTTTCATACCCCTCCCCCAGAAATTGTGTTCTTTTTCTCCTTTCTTTTGTTTGCAGTTTTGAAGATGTACAAATAATTGTTACTATTAATCTTCCACTGTTCCCTATTTAGGTTATTTCAAGTAATTGATTGAAAATTTTTTTAAAAGGAACGCAGCCCAGTCGGTGTGGCTCCGTGGTTGAGCATCAACTCATGAACCAGGAGGTCACGGTTCGATTCCCAGTCAGGGCACAGGCCTGGGATTCAAGCTTGATCCCCAGTGTGGGGCATGCAGGAGGTAACCAATGGACGATTCTCATCATTGTTTCTATCCCTTCCCTCTTCCTCTCTCTGAAATCAACAAAAACATTTTTTTTTTTAAGGAATGCAAAAGAAAAACACTAAAAATTCTGCAGAGCTATTTTTACATGCTTGGCAACGCATAAATCATTGCAAAATTACCCCAAAATTGGCAATACTTCAGTAGCTACGATAATGAAGTTTTCAGTTATTATTATTTTTACATTTTTATTGGAATGCACAAATCTTAGTTTAACTGAATAAATGTATACACCTATATCCTCTGTAACTGCCATCCAGATCAGAGAGAAAACATTTCGAACACAAGTAATGAGGTTTCAACAAACATTCCCCGTTACTGAGGTATTATGGCATATAACATATACCCAAGCTCAGGGCATAAAATGTGATGGTTTAATCCCCTCCATCCCCTCACGGGATTACCACTTTTTCTGTTGGTGCAGGTAACATTTAAGGTCTGCTTTTCCTAACAACTTTCAGTACGTAACACAGTATTACTAATGATAGTCACCAGGCTGCACATTAGATCCCCAGAACTTCTCATGTCATAGCTGGGAGTGTGTGCCATTTGACCAACATCTCCCCGCCGCCCCCACCCAACCCCACACCTGACAACCACCATCCTATTCTCTCTTTCTTTTAGTTTGGCTTTTTTTTTAGATTCTGTATCTAAGTGAGAATGTATAGTATTTCTTCTTTTCTATCTGATTTATTTCACTTAGCATAATGTCAACATCCATCCATGGTGTCACAAAAGGCAGGAATCCCTTCTTCTTATGGCTGAGGGGTGTGTGTGTACGTTGTACAGTCTTTTTTTTAAAAAATATTTTATTGATTTTTTACTGAGAGGAAGAGAGAGGGATAGAGAGCTAGAAACATCGATGAGAGAGAAACATCCATCAGCTGCCTCTTGTACACCCCCTACTGGGGATGTGCCTGCAACCCAGGTACATGCCCTTGACCGGAATCGAACCTGGGACCCTTCGGTCCACAGGCCGACGCTCTATCCACTGAGCCACACCGGTTTCGGCCATTATACAGTCTTTATCCACCCATCCGTTCATGGGCGTTTGGGTTGTGTCCTGGACTTGGCCATTGTGGATAGTGCTGCAATGACCGTGGGGGTGCAGGTGTCTCTTCAAGAGACAAATATGTCCGTTAGCCAAGACCTCATGTTGATTAACTTGCTCTTAGTCGAATCGCCAGCCTATAGGCCGGTGGTGTGGGTAGAAGCCAGAGGAGCTGGGAGATGGATAGTGAGTCTGGACCAGTACCAAGTGGCAGAAGCAATTAGACTGAGGTTTCCGAAAAAGGTGATCTAATGGGAAACACAGGGAGTCCTGGGTGCTCTGGCTTGGTTTCCATGTGGTCCTTAAGGTCAATACACGGGAAGTGTCTGGTAACAAGAACACTGTCCTATTGTAACAACTGAGCTCTTTATATAACAATCCTGACAGTGCTGCCTTCTACCTGACTGCACTTCGCTCGAATGCAGTTAGAGGTACATTCGAGAGTTTTAACATGGCGATGGTCTCCCAGCACCTGGAATTGTAAAAGGGAATTATTCAGTGGAAAAAGCAAAACTTCAATTCAGCACGTAACTTAGAGAACATTTTCAGAAAAACAGCAACGTCAAATGAGATTTCTTTATAGTAATTATTACAAGTCACTTAATTACATCCAGAGAATAAATGGGAAATGCATATTATTAAGTGACGGAAAGCCACATATACACAAAATTTTTCTGCTCGAATTTATTTCAGCTCAGATAGCCATTCCTCAACGTTTAAAATGTCTTACCTGTTAAAGCTTTAATTAATCTTAGAGGTCAGGAAGTTAAAAATTCCCCTTCCTCCAGGAAACCTTCTTCAAATAAAGTCCTATTTCATCCCTGGAAATATCAGCATTCCACCACCTTTCCAATGGCTAACCACTTCCTTACGGTCTTCTCATCCCTACTGGACACTAGACTTCCTGAGGGTTCAGGTGTGTGTGGCTCACTCCTGAGCTCCACACAACGCCGAGCCTGCACTGTGCACAGGAGGCATCCCATCGGCAAGCGAACAGACTTGGCATAAGGCTGCAAACAGATGTACGCTCTTGGAATATCACCAATTGGCACGCATTGGAAGTGTGCCAGATATATTTGGACTCAATGACTATTTACAAATTGAACACAGCACATTCGGATTTGCGAAAGTGGATGTGTGTACGTTATCATTGTTCAATGAAAAGTTAAGGCTGGAAAGCTTCTGGAACGTGTTCTAAAGGAATCAAGTTCTTTCGACTGGTGTTAAGACTCCCAAGCAGAAGGTAACACGCAGAGTGCTAACACGAGGCCATCGTGCACATCTGCTCAATGCTCTCAGTTATGCACAATGCAATGCCAGGGGGATGAGATGCCATTGTATATTTTACAAAACGGAAAGAAAGAAAAAGTGGATTGAGACCACACCTGTGGCTGAAAGGAAGAGTTACATTTCCTTAATGTTTCAAGGATTCACATCAGGCCTCCGTTCTCCTGACCTCCTGAGACACAGGATATTCCTACATCCTTTACCAAGGAGCCAATGAGGCAAGCAGGGGATTAGGTGGGGTTTGTTGGCTCTTAAGGTAAATAAGCCAAACAGGGTCACATTTATTTGTCCACAATATTCTCTTTTTTCCTTCTGGCATCTTCTACCCGGGCTGGAAAACCCACACCAAAAACCAGACCTAAAGCATGTGAGACAGCGAAGGCGCTCCGGGGCTGAGGAAGAAGGCGCCCAGCCAGCTCCGCTGCTGGGCTTGGCACCAAACCCTGCCCCCCTTCCCTGTCTGTCACATCCTGGGGTGAAACCTGAGCGGGATCCAGCCAGTGTTCTCCGTGGGGGGCGTGCTGCTCCCTGTGAGGCGAGCCAGAGGCGTCAGGTACCCCACAATGCCTGCCATTTAACAAACACAGAGAACAGTGCCTCAGGAAACGCCACGCAGTGAGGTCTGACTGAAACGGTGCATAAATACAAACGTAAACAGTGACGGTATAAAAGGACTGGAGCATGCGTTCCAGAACCTCCCCGTCTTACTCACTACTCAACAGCACAGAGTAGGCATCAATATGCTGAAGGGATTAATGAGGCAATCACAGCAGCTGAGATTTATTAAGTACCAGGCAGTGTGCGAATCACCACACTTACAGTATCGCTCTTGATCCTTGCACAATCCTGTGATATTGGGTTTACTAGTACCTTTATTTTTGAACGTGGAACCTGAGGAAGGGTGGATTAGAAAACTTCCCCAGTGCTATAAAGCTGCCCAGGGGGAAAGCCACCCAACTGGAAAATCTACGTTTTTAGTCATTCTGCTCCGTATGCACACGGTGTGTGCTACCGCACTCTACATTGTGAGTTCTGATGATGGCCGGAAATAAATGCATGGGGCAGGGAAACAGGTGGGTGAATAAAGGAGGTGGCCACGATCCTGAAGCAACGGTTAAGAAACACCCCCCTATGGACAAAGACAAGCAAGGTCTGAGACCCTGCTGAGACCTACACTTCCTACAAGGTAGTCCCATGGTGAAGGGTGCGGGGTGAGAGGAGAGGAGATAGGGGGTGAGGGGAGAGGGGGCACGGAAGTCAGCCGTGCCTTTTAATGCTGCCAAGTCTTTGCTCCTGGCCTTTTGTACGTCTGAATGTCTGCTCCATCCACTGCCTAGCGGGGAATTCTCATTCAGCCCCAAACTTCTTCCTCAGACAGAATTCCCTCCCTCTTGGCGCCTACACAACCCTCACTGGCATTGTCCTTTTCCCCACCTAGAATCCAGGATGTGTGGGGACAGGGGGATGGATTGGTTCTCGGGACAGACAAGGCAGAGATGCCAGTTGCTCTTGGCTGAAAGGCCTGGGTGGCAGGGAGTGGCCCCACCTGTTCCTCACATACCCAGTGGCCCGGGCGCAGGGCACACACCTTGAGCTGAGATGCACAGCACAGGGTGGACTTGGCCCTGGGGAGAGCAAGGCCTGCTGACATAGCCCAATGTGCTGGGCTGGGGCCTCGGGCTTACAGCTCACCACACACAGCAGGTGGAGAGAGAGCTATGACTGTGGGTGTGGGGGAAGTGGCTTCTAAGGCTTCTGCTG